CACATGTTTATATGTAGCCTTATTTCCTAAATATCCAGTATTACACATTTATCAGTTCACATTTTTTTACCTTAACCCCATACGTCTGTTTGTTTAGCATCCTCCCATCTGTTTTACAGTGTGCAAATCAACCAGTCACTCTGGGAAATGTATTGCTGCTTTGTCTTGGAGTTGTACAGTCATCTTTTAGTCAGTTAGCAACCTAGACCTCTAAAGAGTATAATGAAAACCTGCTTTTGTGTGTTATCATCCCATTAAATCATCATTATAAGTTGTCATCACTGCCTGCACCTAGTTGTAGGCTCAATAGGCTGTTATCACTTCGTGGAGTTGGTGCAGCATTGCTTAAATGACATAATGAGCATGTTTCCACTTTGAAATAACAACACAAGTCGACATATGGAGGTTGGAACCAGAATGTCACCCAGGAGTACGTGTGTGATACTTGATTTTTCATTGTTTTAGACGCATTGTTTTTAATCTGCTTTACATTTGCCTGCACGACCTTTCTGTTTCATGCCTTGCACACTTTGACTGGATGATGCCTGCTGAGATTTTTTTTTTTACATGTGATTATTCAGATAACCTCAAAATTGCTGACTCTACTAGATTGAAGAGTGTCCTTGCAGACCCGTAGGACATTTTCAACTCCTTTCACCTCAGCTGACCCAGAAATGCCACAGTGAAACATAAAGACAGAGCTAAAACCCAAGTCGAGCCACGGCCATTTGTTTGCATCTCAGCCGATATGCGCTCACCTCGCTGTTCTAGAGCAGGAATCTGAACTGCTTTCACACATGCCTACACTCTGCTCTCCAGCCCTGCTGCTTTTCCCATTAATTCCTCCAGTTAATCTAGTCCTACATCAGCTTGTCATCACCCGCCACAATTCCCCCTCAACTATGCCACTCAGGACTAATCACGCTCCCACATTTCAGTCACTCTGACGCCTGCCCCTCCAGTGTTTGGCCACTAACCTGTCGACATGCAGACGGCCGCCTTTCAAGTCTCAAACAAAGGTAGAGCAGGCATGGCCCGTGGTGACCCATATCTTATGAAGTATGTGCTTGGTTAAGGAAGAATTTTATGCACCCAAAGACCATGTACGTGCAAGACTTGTGAAAGCATTCATCCATCGATGCCTGCTGACTTCGTTTTGTCTGCCAATCCTTTCCTCTGTCATTTTTCTTATATCTGTAAGACTCTCTTTCTCTGTCCTTCCCAACTAATTTCTCTACCTCCTGGTCTTTCCTCCCCATCCCATCACTCCCATGCACATTCCTGTCTCCCTGTTTCCAGCTTTTTCAGCTTTTCCACCTTGTCATCTAGCATCTCTCTCCATCTAGTCTCTTTTCAGAGGCCTTGGGCTTACTCTAGCATCTCCCACTCCTGTTTATGACGGTGGAGGCTGAGGGAGGGGAAGTCAAGCCCACTGTGAAATATGGAGGCTATCATAACACGGCTGGCATCTGTGCCTGAGGTTTGAAGGTGTAGAGGTGTTAAAAGTGTAAAACTGTTCAAACATAAATTTTAAATGAGAGTCAGTGCAGTGGGTGTAGCCCACTCAGTTTCCTTTGTTATTCTTTGTTTTGTTTTTTTAGTTTGCCAGCAAAATCCTGTGGGAGCTTAAAATGGCAAATGGAATCACTTACATACAGCATAAAAATATGATTTAGTCGAGCACTTAAAAAAAGGGTCAATCTTCATTTCTTTAATTAAAGTTATTACTTTTTTCTTTTTTTTTACTATTCCTTCAATCCCAGAGTTCCAGTGTCATTAATAGCTCATTGCTGTTGCATTAAGGAGGATGAAAGTAGGAGAGGCAGACATGCGTAGGAGGTGGGAGACCATGATTGAGGTCTCCTTGAAAGGGCTGGCAGAGTCAGGAAGTGATTAGGCCACTACAATACCCCCAATAATGACAATAGAAAACATGCTCAGAGCCATTTATGTGGAACCAGTGTGGTTCTGATTTCACTATGAGAGCAGGGGAGGACGGTCACATGGAACAAAAGACAGAAGAAGTGAGGTGTTGCCCACAGAAGGGTTTTAGACCATGGGAAAGCAAGCTGAAGGCTTACTTGTTACTTTAGCTGCCCTGTTTTCTTGCCATGTCTGGATCCTGTGCAGTAAATTGACGGTAGATTTGCTTTTTGAGATTCATTTTTAGAACAAGCAGAATTTATTTTTCAAAGAGAGGTTGACAAAAAAAGTTCTGACATGCAGCAGAAAGAAAGTGATCGTTTTGAGGCTACCATAAGTCCTGTGTCAATCAAACGACTCCCTGTGAGCATGCACTTGGCGAAAGTGGGAAGGAAAAGCTCCCTTTTAGCAGGAAGAAAACTCCAGCAGAACCAGGCTCATGCAGGGTGATTCTGGTGCTGGGAGGAAGGGGAGGAAGACAGAACAAAAAACACACTGTGCAAGAGAGCTAGAGATGAACAACAACTAATGATTAAATGCAGAATGGTGTGTAAGCACATGGTGTATACAGCCGAGTATAAAGATTTTTGATACTAGAATAACCCCGTTTAGATTAGAAAAAACAATACTGGAAAAGTAAGTCAAAGTCCAGAGTTTATTTATTCTGATTATTATCATTATTCTTCTTCTTCCATCTTGCCTCGCAAGTTTGAAAAGAACCTCAAAAAGTTATATCAGAATGTGTGATTCGATTAAGAATGTTTTCCTATTACTTTGGCAGTAAATTCACAAAAATATTTTACATGGCTGCTTCAGTAAGGTGAATAATGACATGTAAAGGACGCCAGTCAGTGTTTTGGGCTTTTAAAATAAAATACTCTCGATGATCTACCAACAAAATATTTCAAATACTTCTCACAAGCTCCAAAGAGTAATTCTTTCCTTCTGATGCCTCTCTTGACACATCCTTTCAGCTCCTATTGCCTCCTTATAGCCGACCCAGCAGTAGTATTGACATACTCGTAAGTTTATTCAGAAATTTTTTTGGTGTTTTGCTTTTAATGTTACAGGAGGAAATGGAGTAAACATTCAACTGTGTGTTAGACAAACCTGTGGCCAGCATGTCCCCAACGTAAGAGAAATATTAAACTGAAATTGTAGAGTGCATGGGAGCTGCTCTCAGGACACATCCGCTTTATGGTTGACTATCACACAGTAGAAGTGGATTACGAATATCGATATTATCAATACCAGTGCTGATATTTGTATCGGATCGATACTAGCACCAACTGAGCAATCTTTTTTTTTTTCAGTTTGTAGCCACTGAACTGTGTTAAATGTATTTCCTTTATTTGAGAGGGAAAAAAGAAACAACCTCAAACATGCAGTGTGAAAAATGTCTGAACCTTTTTGTGCTGACTGTCATGTGTTTTGGATTTATAGCCTATGGCGCAATGAAACAAAAGAAGCTGACCCAGAGTATTTTAGGGACAAGCACATTTAATTCAGTTCAATTCAGTTTTGTTTATACAGCACCAAATCACCCACAGAAAAACCCAACGATCATATGACCCCTATGAGCAAGCACTTTGGTATATAGCACCAAATGACAACAGTCGCCTCAAGGCGCTTTATACTGTAAGGTAAAGACACATCAATAATAGGGAGAGAACCTTAACAATCATATGATACCCTATGAGCAAGCACTTTGGTGACAGTGGGAAGAAAACTCCCTTTTAACAAGAAGAAACCTCCGGCAGAACCAGGCTCAGTGAGGGATAGCCCCTTACATTTCAGGTCTCCAAGTTTCAGAATGCATGAAAAACTGAAAGGTGTGTTTTATTGTAGTAACTCATTATTGTGAAAAGGAAAACCCACAGTGATTTAGTGATCAGTATCAGATCGATGCCTATATATGCAGTATCGCTCGCTGCTACCACACAGTTGATGTGCATCAGCATTGACGGGAGCTTATCCTGATATCCTGATAGGGCAGTAGGCAAAAAGAAGCAGTTTGCATGCATGTTGAAGTGTCCTTAGCCAGAATCCTAAACCCAAGTTGCCCCTCATGGATACATCACAGTGTGAGTGTACATTTTAAACAAACAGCTTAAAGACATTGGACATGTGAATGCATATGCTTATGGGTGAATGAAGGGTGCAGAAGAAAAATACTTTGAGACCTCTCTACTTAAATAAATAAGCCCACAAAATATACTCAGCCTGTAATATTCTGCTTGGGTGTAATGTAATTAGCTATAACACTGTGGCAAACTGTGCTAAAAATTTTCAGTGTAAATTAGAGACTAATTAGAGACTACAAGCTGGTCTGCTATGCACCAAGCAGCCAGCTTGGTGCATAGCACATATGGAGAGAACTTGGAAAACCTTTTGTGGCTAGCTTCAGCTTTTAAGCCAAATGGGAAGCTTGGGTGATCTTTCTGAGCCTGATCACAACCTTATTTTTCTTTGGGGTGCAATCAAGTGCACTAGTTGTAAGAACAGTACCTCTGTGAAATCACCGAGCAGACACTGACGCAAATCAATGGAAGTGTAGAAAATGACTCATGGTCTTCTAGCAGCATGAGGTCTAACGTCTCACATCATCTCCCGTCCCTTCTGTAGCTTTCTTCCTAGTTTTCCAAGCTTGGCAAGAATTCGCCAACAATGACAAAAAAGCTTTTTACTAGAAAGGTCACAGTGGAGGCTGCATCATAACAGGACCAGAGGAAAGTTGCTGCATGAAGGCCAGAGATGAATGTGATATTCGCCCAACATGAGGGGAAGAGTCTTGTACACACATGAAAGTCTTTGTCCAGCCAAACTGAAAGTCACAGAGTGCATTTAGCTCTAAAGAAATCTTTTTCTGTCATTTTATTTTTGTTTCTCGCATCTGAAACTGAAACTACATGTGCAATTTGTGCGCTGACATTTTAGCGCTCTGCCAGCTCGTACGCATTTGATGCCAAACAGCGCTCGAGCAGCAGAAGCGAAACGGCGAGTGAGGTTGAGTCGTTTTCTACTCATCCCTGCGGTGCTGATTTTGGCAATTCATCGCTCTTTCTGTGTTTCCACAGGGCCTCCAGGAAAACGTGGAAGGATGGGAAGAAGAGGGGAACCTGGTAAGTAATGCCCATCAAATCATTTAACGGTTTATTTTTCCTTTTAACCTCTTTTCCTGGAAAACATACACTTTTTTTTTTCTTCATCACACTCACATACCGTCCCTCTTTTTCCTGTGTGACTGGGTAAGTTCGAGGCGAGGGCCCAGCAAAGGCAGTGATCCATGAGTCAGGCCACTGGATGATGGGCTTCAGTTGGCCCTTCTCCCTGTCCCTTTCCATTTGTGCCGACATAGTGCTAACTCTGGCCATGTGGTTCCACTAACTTTGCCCAGATGTCAGTCGTTCTTGCTGAGCGGTAGCAGCTGCTGTAGTATGAGCCTAATGAGTCTGCCTCGCCAACATCGCTACCCACCATTATGGTGCTGCTTTTTCAATCGATCCAAACCACAAAAACACTCCACGAGGAACCAAAACAGAGCAAGGACATAAGTCTTGTTTCACAAATGTCATCGTGAAAGATGGAGCGGATGTTGTACAAGTCTCACTCATCCCAATTTTTAAATGTTTCTTATTAAAAGTGGGCTCCACGACAGTATTAGGCAATTTTATCAAAACCTGCAGGATATGTGTCACTGTCGTAAAATTTCCATTGTGGTTGTGAATCACTGAGGTGGATGTTTACAGATGGGATCTGTTCTTGTGAACACGGTGACTAAGTGAAAGATCATCAGTGATCCCTTTCTGCTTGTCTGCTTACTTTATTTTATCTGATCAAACGTCCATCTTTTAGGTGACGGGTTGAGCAAAACATCCCATAAATCTCGACTCGGAATTGCATGTTTTTTTTTCTGTTCTAGAGGGCGGCCAAACAGTATATTTCTGTTTTCTAGAAATCGCAGCAGAAGGTGAACACCATCAATGTGTTAGTCTCTTGCCGGCATGAACGGCCTTGTGTGTGGTTTGCGCAATTTGGTTTTCTTTGGAGATGCAAATCTTAAATCTTAATCTTACCGTTTACAGAGTTTCACTCATTTTCTGAAACTACTAAAAAAAAACAAGAAGTGAAATTAGATTTGTTAGGGTCAATTTGCTGTGGCAGATTTGGTGGACTAGTAAGTGTTCACGGCAGCGTTACGGTCTCAGCGGGACTGACCCAGTTTACCATTATACCTTACTCATGTTTTTAATGGATTTTGGAGAGCAGTAGTGACCGGTCTCAAATCTCGATAATCAGTTTACTGTCTAACTAAATTTATATTAGCATAAAATGTGGAAATCCCTTTGGGTGTCCTCCAGGTCCGTTTAATGGAAATCTCATCATTACGAGCAGGAGTGGGGAATTAATTTAAGAAACTGGGACTGTTGTGGAGGCCCACACCCCTGGGAAAATTAATTACCCACCCCTGATTTGGAGGATGTGTGCTGCTAAGGTTTCAGCCGAGAGTGGACGCCTATTTGAGGCAGATGGTCCGTGTCTGAAGGGCCGTCGTGGTTCTGTTTAGGCTATCGCTTGTATTTTTTAGTCTCTCATCCTCACATTGCATCCTGGCTCAGAGCGAGTACGTATATTAAATGGAGAGGCTGTTTCGCCATCCTGATGCTGATGACTCCAGGACAACATTTTAAAAGGCCAGAAGAGGTTTTCCTCCATTCTCTCAGGGAAAAAAAAAACAAATGAGAGTGGAGAAGGGAGCGCACAAACACAAATAACAGGAAAGAGGGCAGACAGAGTAGTTAAGCATCTTAAAATCAGCCCTCGCTGTCATCTTCTCTCTGACATGCCTCGTTTTTTTTTTCTTTAAATTGTTTCCTTTTCTCTTATGTTTGCTCCTGCGTCTCTTTCTTTCTCAGTAGTCTACAAGCACATATACACACCTGTCCCAAGTTCAGTAGTTAAAGCTTGTCTTTCTGTGTGGCTTTCCAAGCTAGTGTGTTTGTTTGCCTAACCGTCTGGCCCGGGAGGTCCCCGTCGAAGCATCCAGACACAGATAAACTTTCATCCCTCATGAACCTAAACGCCTCCCTCCTCTTCTTCTTGACACATGCTCGCCCCTAAAACATGCATTTTCATCTCTCTCTACGTATGCAAAGCTCCTGCTGAATCAAAGAGCCCACTTCAAGGCCACAATAGAATCTGTTCATGTTAACAAGGATTTTTTTGTGTGTGTTTTAAGGAGAGCCTGTTTTCAGTCTTGCTGACTTTATGTTGGTGTTTGATGTCGTACTCATGCTGATGAGGTATGCTGTACTGAAGCCGCAAAGGTGGCAGAGCCCCAAGTGACATTATACACTATAAGCTGCATTAATCAGCATCATTATCGGTTTTATCGGATAGCATATTAAGGAATAGCTAATAAAAATTCTGCTAATGATGCGTTCACTTTGTAGGGATTTAAGTGATTTAATAGTGCTCCTGGTCTTAGCCTCGGACTTTAAGGAGATTATTAAAAAAAAAAAAGGCCACTAACAACAAAAGGAGTTCTTTGATCATTACTTTTGTTTTCTGTTAGGCAAAGAATGAAAAGCTGAATGTAGTTTTGCTGCTGAGGCTCAACATCAGAGCATTTCAATCACGACAGAAACACTGCCCTGGAGAAATCTCAGAAGCATCTCATTCTTTTTCTCCCCCCACAACTTTAAAGGGACAGACAGTTTGCCAGCACGCCCCGACCTCTTTACTCGCTGTTTTTCCGCCATCCAATACGCCCTTATTTTCTTAAGAAACAAAGTCCTGACATGACTTCATTTCCTAATGTAAAACATGACCCATTATCCAGCAGTCTGTTTATCATAACGGGTTCACCACAAACTGCGCTGGCGGCAGCTCTAATATGTTTGTTCTGTACTGTATTTAGGTGGTTAATTGCAGCCATCATCTAACGAACCACATTGCATGTGCAGGTTTTTTGTTGTTTTGTTTTTTTTGTTGCAGACCACTGTTCAGAGGAATTGATTGGTATATAAACCAAAGCCTGCTGCAGTTCTCGCATGTTGTGCTTCATGTGTCTGTAGAGACTTGTAGCATTTACTTTCTAACGCTTGGTTTCTCTTTTGTGTTGCAGGGCTTCCTGTAAGTACCATTCCACCTCATCCAGGTAGTATGGAAACAAACTAAAGAGAGGTTTCAACATCAGTCACGCATGCACACACATCCACCTTGTATCATCCCTCGCTGTGAGTCCTGCACGGCCCGGCAAACTGCGGGAGTTGCCAGGAATCCTTTCACTCACAGACATACAGACTGTCACAGACTCACTCGCACATGCATCCACAGAGAACGCCAATAAATGGACCACCTGTGCATGTGGGTGTCCATGACTGTGTGTTTGAGTCTTTCATGGTGATGGTTAGGGAGGTGTGACTTATTTGCAGTGAGTTATTCTCCTCTGTGGGACTGTAACTCCTGCTGACACTCTGACACACTCGGGAGATAAAACACACCGTTACTCAAAGCCTTGTACAGAGTGGAAACTGATGCAGCTGCCTTCAGATTTGTTTTTTGTTTTGTTTTTTCCATCTGCATTTTAAATGTCCAATTTCAGTTTTTATTCCTTTCTTTTTCTTTCTTTTTTTTATTAAATTGTCCCATGTGGCACTGATCAGATATGCAGAATTGGAAATGCTCTGAAACGTACCGTGACGAGCTTCCGGACACATCAGAACAAAAACAGCATGCCCGGCCAACCAGGATTTGTTCGATTGGTCTGCATCTGATCCACACTAGGCGTGCATGAAACAATGTCTTCTCTTAAAGACCCCCACAAAACTTACAGCCTAAATCTCATAAAGTTGATGGGAAGGTGTGGTAATCCAGTCACTTGCTACTCTGCAAAGTAGCAATGTGTCAGTGCCGTTTATCTAAGTAATGTGCAGTGGCTGGTACTGTAGACACAATGAAAACAACTGATCTGATTTTCTTTTTTAATTATTTTTTGTGTCCAAGTGGCTTTTAGTTTAAAACCGTGGTTCATGTTTGAGAGCAGATGAGAAAAGAGAAAAAAAAATCCCAGAAAATGTGAGTCAAAAGCTGTGGTGTAAACATATGACTAAGTCCTCGCTAGTTCATTCGTTTCCAAATACAAATTTAGTCTCCATTTACAGTAAATTATTTCATTCAAGAATTCAATATTTTATATGAATAAATAAATAGTCAGCCACAATCCTTTAAATCATTAACCACTTGTCTCCTTTTATTATGTAGGATACCAGGCTACATGTTGGTCTTTGAGTTTGTTGTGTGCAGCTGTTAGTGTCTGTTCAGCCTTGATTAATGCTTCATGCTTCAATGTCTAACCTCACCAGGGCAAGGCTGGACGGGATGGATACCCGGTAAATTAGATTTTTATTTATCCTGTCACTCTATTCACTTCACCTACTTGTGTGTCTGGGCCTGGATCTGTTCTAACTTTTTCCCCACATTTATTCTGCCTTTTTCTATCCCATCATCTTCTCTGCTTTTTCTTTCTAAATTACTAAATTAATTCATTTACCCTTTCCATGACTTCCTCTTCATAACCAATAACCAACAGTGATGTATCCTGCCTCATAAATGAGAAGTAAGCTCACAGATATACAAAGTTCAGACTGGTTATATCACACGAAATATGACTAACCCAAGGCAGTTGGCAGGGGGAAACGCAGCACGTTTAGTTCTCATATGAGTAAACATAAAGAGCAGTAGACATAAATGCCCAATAATGTTAAGATATCATCAGTAAACACAAACCACAGGAGTGTAAACCGTACCACAATGTGAAACAGTCATCCACAAGACTCCAATCATGGCTTGCAGCTTCTAGTTGGGCTTTAATATGCTTGGTGTAATGCAACGATGTACATGCATAGCTACTGAATGGAAAGCAGGTTACCAATTTCCACAAAAACACAGAGCCATGCCTAATGTTATCCAGAGATACAGCGGCCTCTAGTGGACAGCTAGACCTTTTCTTTTCTTTTTTCTTTCTCCCACAATTTATGAGATGAAACGGTGATTTCTAGCTTATCATCCATTTATGAATACACCTACACAAAACAGTGTGACTTCTAGAAAAGTGTGCACAATGCTACAGTCCTCCCTGAGTGGACGTCTCGGCAATCCCCCCCAAGGTCAGACGATGCAGTGCTCAGAGAAATAGCAAAATCACAAAAGCATCTCAAACTCTACAGGCCTCAGTCAGCATGTTAAATGTTAAATTTTACGACTGTACAATTAGAAAAAGACTGGACAAGTATGGTTTGTTTGTTAGGGGTTGCGGGAGAAAGAAAAATATTGTAGCATGGTTTAAATTTGCGAAGTTGCTTCTGGAAAAATACAAAAAAAAAACCCACCAAAAACCAAAGACTCTGAGAAAAATGTGCTTTTTGGACAGACAAGACCAAAGTGGATCTGTTTGGCCATAATGCACAGCCCCACATTTTGAGAACCACACACAATAAATCAACACAAACACCTCATATCAGCTGACAAGCAGGGTAGTGAAGGGAGGATTCGGAGCTACAGGATCTGAGCACCTTGTATTTTAGTCAGTCCTGAACTCCTCTGTATACCAAAGTACTCTAGAGTCAAATGAGAAGCAATCTGTCTGATAGCTAAAGCTTGGTCTAATTGCCATGCAACAGGACTCAATTTAAATCTAAACACAGCAGCTAATCTACAACAGAATGGCTTAAAAAGAATCAAAGTGTTGCAATGGCCCAAAGTCCAGACCTCAGCAGGACTGAATAGTCTGAGAGTGCTGTGCACAAAACAAAACGCTTAAAGAAGAGCGAGCCAAGAGGCCACAACCTTGTGAGACACTGATAAAGTCATACAGAAACATTTACTTCAGATAATTGATGCTAAAGGTGGTTCTACAAGCTCCTGAATCATGGGGTGCACTTAGTTTTTCACTCATTGACTAGTTCCATGGTGACCCAAAATAGTCACGTCATCTTAACTCCTACAACATCTTTGCCATGCTAGCTGTGTAGTTGTGGATGTTGGGAATGCGGGTATCTCGGGCTCTCGCTCAGGCATATTCCCATACAGTCTGCCTGGCACTGCACAGCCCTGCTGACGGGAAATGCCTGCTGCTAATTACACACAGGTGGACTCGGTGCACAGATAAGCCTGTGCACATTTGTGTTTTTTAGAGGATTTTGTTTGTTTGCTTGCTTGCTTGTTTGTTTTTGCCTGTGACCGTTCATCTCCATTGCCGTCTCCATTTGAAACCCCAGAGTTATTGCACATTTTATTGTCTTGTTTTCATTTAACATTGTCCTGGGATGCCATTATTTGTGCATTGCTTAAACACTGCACAATCTGGTTAATTCTTCCCAGTCTAGTTAGTATAATGAAATCAATCTGTATAGTGCTAAGATTACATAGATGAAACAGTGTAACGACTGGAGGAGCTCAGTCTGCTGTTGCAAGAGGCAGCTTCCTGGTCTGTGTGTGTGTGATTATAAAGACTGAGGATGCTGCGTGCTTGAGGTCACAGTGAAACAACAGCAGATTAATCACGCTGACAATTATCATGGACAGTATATCATTACATTTACCAGGAGCAGAGATGATAGAATTTCAAACATCTGACTTTAAAAAGAGCCGTTCTTCCTGTTGGGTATCAATGTTTGTGTGTCTGTGTGCATATGTGTGGAGGCTGTCCAAACCACCTATTGTTTATGTATGTCTCTGTAACAAAGCCCAGGACCGTGGAAGTGGTCAGAGGTATGTGTGTGTGTGGATGTGAGTGCTAGATGTGTTTTCACACCAGTATTTTCTCTCAGATGCTCATATATGAGGGCAATCAGCACAAATGAGACAAGTGGGTTACCGGAGACCGCTGCGCTGCTAACTGCATTGTGCCAGAGATTTGTGCCAACAAGACTTTTTTTTCTCTTTCTGTTTCCTTTCCTTAAACAAACAGCTAGATTGCTTCCCAGTGTTTTTTCATGTCCTCTCTCACCCCTATTATGTCTCTCTGAATTACATACAATGCAGTTCAAGCTTTTAACCCTCCCGAGCCAAAAGTCTGTAAGTGTACAAGCTAGCAAACAGTTCAACAAGATGATAATAACAGCTGTGGAAGTCCAAAGTAACAAAGGGCATCTAATCAAGTTTTAATTAGAGGTACTTGTCCCTGATTTACTGGTAATACAATTTTCTGCTGCAATTTATTCTCCTGCACTGCAGTTTAGAGGCATTTTTTTAAATACACGTTTTTGTACCCTTTAATGGCCTTTGAATACTGTGTACTGCTACTTTTGATACTTAACCTTGGTTGGTTTGGAGTGTAACCAACTATTTTTTACATTTTGATATCGCAACTTTTCCATCAATCCGTTATCTTCAATTTGTCCTGAGTTGGGTTTCAGTTGAAGCCGACTAGGCAAACGTCCTTCTCACCAGCAACAGTTTCCAATTCATCCAAACTTGAGGAGAACCTGAGCTGTTCTCAAGCCAGATGAAATGTACACTGCTGAAAAGGACTGAAACATGACGTCCCAGAGGTGTTCGACTGGATTTAGGTCAGGCTACCACTGACTGGGGGCCCAGTCAGTGGTATCAATTCCTTCATCCTCCAGGAACTATCTGCATATGACGGCTCATGAGTCCAGTTATTGTTGTCCACCAGGAGGAACCCAGGACCCGCAGCAGCAGTGTAGCATCTGACAGTGGGTCTAAAGCGGAGTCCAGCCATCCTACAGAGGAAACTCATGTATTTGCAGCTTGTATTTGCAGCCCTACTCTGTCAGTCATTTATGCCGTGACCATAGATGAGGGTCGGATCTTAGATGGATTGATGATTTGGAAAAGCCTCGACTTTCGGTTCAGTTCTCTCTTTACCACAACAGTCAATGTAACACTCCACGTTCCGTTACTCATGATTAAGATTTCAAGATGCTTGAATTCCATCGCTTGGTCCATCCTCTTTCATATCCTACCCATACATGAAGCCAACAGAACCACATCATCTACATGAGGAAGGTTGCAGGTTCCCAAAGTACATGCCCTCCTAAGCCTTGCTACGCCTTGAGATCCTGTCCATGAATATCTCAAACAGGACTAAAGACAAGAGAGAATCCTAGCAGAGTTAAACTCCAGTGAAAACAGGCCCAACTTTGCAGAGAGTAAGTGGATACACTTGGTTTTACGAGGACATGATGCCCCATGACAACTGACTTGCAACCACATATTCCTGCAGTTCCCCCAACAGGTGCTCATAACCATTCTCCAAGCCACCAAAACACACCTAGCTTCAATGTTCAAACCTCTGTGAATTATCCAGAAGTTTGCAAGGGTGAAGATCAAGTCCTCTGTTCCACAGATGGGAATTGATCCTGAATCCAAGTTGTAATTGCAATTTTAAAATATTGGAATTAAAAAAATATATACTGGTAGAAAAAACATTGGATCCCTTCATCCACCACTGCTGACCTGTTAAAGAAACTGCATGCATGTGTGCAGTGTGAGTGCACATGAGCTGCACTTCATTTAGGTGGCATACACATGTTGAATTCATCAGACTGCAGCAGCCCACTTCCAGAGAATCATCAGTTGTATGATAAACAGTGTTAATGAAATGCGGTTTGCGTGTCTCTCAAGCATAACACTACGACGTGCGTGCTCATGTATGTTTTCTCCCCTCATGTAACCCTTGCCACTTCTTCCTCTCATAAATCACAGCCAAGGCGAGATTCAGAAAAGAGTCTTCCCCCTGTCAAATAATCACAGTCAGGCAGGCTGACAGCAGGGCAGAGGGGTAAACACACACCCACACACACCAACTGACTCCTTTTCACATGTGCAGCATGCCCAGCCACAAGTGTGTTTATTCGCGAGTGCAACACTGAGACAGACAGCGGACCTCAATCAGCGAGAAGGGCCCAGGCTCGCCATTGTTCAGCCTTCAAGGCTGCAGGGCGCAGATCAAAGCCTGACGGGCACCCGGCAACATGTTGGCAATTTTCTGTCCCAAACAAACAGCACTCTGCTATGCTTTATTGTGCGCTTTGGTTCTGCTTGTAGCCACTGACTATTTCTAAGAGCCGTGTATCACAAATTGCGCACACGTAGAGCTAACACCGATTTCTGTCCCTGTGGTGACATTAAACAAAGGTTTTCATGGGCAGCCTCAAGAGGAAAAAATTAATCATATCCCAGGAAGAGAAAGAGGAAAGCGCTCTCTCACTATCTCACCTTCACCTTAATGCCATAAAAGTTTGTTGAGCCTGCAGTTTGCAGCATAAGCAGCGTGCGATTCTCGCTGAGACGCCGGCTGTGATGTGCAGACACCAGCTTTTCATGCTGCATCCTCGACAATCACACCCTCGTGGATAATTAGCAGTCTGCGCCATAGGGAGTACAGTAAAGGCAGCTAAAACAGCCTGCGGCTTCTTTCACCGGGATTAAGAGACGAGCGCATGCAAACAGACACGCCTGAATCAACGCGCGCATTCACACATAAGCAAACACAGACATGTGCCCTCCTACAGGCCATGTTATTTCCCAGAGATCTGTTTAACAGCCTTCTAATTGATGGGAATGTGAGTCAAAGCTGTTTTTTTGTTGTTTTACCTGCTGAGGGATGCTGCAGGATAATGTGGCGCTGCAGACTAGAAATACAAGTTCTTTTTATGCGAGTGTGGTTCTTTATTTTGTTTTCTCCCACATTTACTTGAGGTTTTGGCGGTAATCTCCAGCTCTTTTTCCCACTTTTTCTAAACATTAATCTCCTATTTTTTATTTTTTTTTGCCTTTTGTGTTCTTTTACCCTCCATCCTTCCCTCCCTTTCTTCTCCAGCCTGATCCGTTTGTGGTTTGAGATGCAGAAATTTAGCAGCAGCCCCTCACCCCAACACTCTGAAACCCACCACATCGCTCATGTTTTTTTAGTTCAGCTTAGTTTTATTTGAATTCCAGCACACGTTTCATGCCTTGCAGAGTGTTTTAAAGTTAAGCTATTATATTTTTTTTTTAAAAGACAATAGATAAGGTACCTAACTCCCTTTGATTTTGTTTGTTTCATAGTTATTTAAACCCATTTTGTCATTGGTTTTCAGTGAACACCGACTCTTATTTCTATTGCTGATTTAATGAAGCTTGTATATTTTAAAGTATTTTATTACCAGACATACCAGAGCTCTCTCCACTGCTCGTTGCATGAAATATTGCTTCAGGCAGCTCTAGCAATTCCTCAAGTTAGTAGAAATTCTATGCTACTACTTATTAATGCAAGCAGTCCGATGTCAGACATTAGCTACAGGGTTTTATTACTGAAAATAAACCTTTCATACACATCTCGTCGCAAAGAAAAAGACCCAAGCAGCAGTTGTACCCACAATTCATAAGGCTCTTTGTCGCTTGTTAGCGGCCATAAATCAGTCCCTTTTAGATTGTGCAGCAGCCGCTGACCTCGCATTGTTCACCTCTCCTGCTCATCCTGACGAGTCTTGAAGGAGCCAGACCCCCATAAACGCTCCCAGATGCAGAGATGTCCCTGCATAGATGTATGTATACATGGTAGAGCTTAGTGTGCATGTAGGGATGTAGCCTCGGAAAACTCAGAGGGACATTTGAAATTCTCATGGGAAACTCAGGATGTTGTTTTTAATAGAGCGATGGACATCCAGCCTGTCCTGTGCTGTGAAATTATTGCCGTCCAATTGGTCCCAGTCATTTGTTCCACCCTGGTCTCGGCTACCTACTGCTGACTTCACAAGGGTTCCTTAATCAAAAAGACATTCTGTAAAGAAGCACTTTTTATGCTTTTTTATAAATCTCTTTTACAGGCTGCTTTCAAGTTTGACAGCAGTCTGTAGCCACGCTGACAAATTATGAGGCAAAAGCAAAGCAGTAAATGATCAGATGAGCGGGTAACGAGAGCAGCTTCACGTATCGCTCCCTCTCTGTACCTACTGCCCATCCAGCAAAGCAGGCCAAGATGAGACTGTGGTAGGGTTGCATCCGTGGGGCTGGTAAATCAGGAGATCATGAAAAAAGCCAAGACTTGTGTGCGCCATCCAAGGCCAGAAGTGATTATTGTTAATGATGGTTTCCACCCTGGAAAGCCACCAGGACTGTGAACAGCAAGCCAGTACTTAAGGGACCCTGTAAAAACAGTTAGCTTAACATAGAGTAGGGTTGTTAAGAAGGAAGGCGGCAGGAAGTCAACGTTAGCCCTTACCACATACATCACATATAAGTGTTTGTCAGGAAAGTTTGATCCAAGAGCCGGCTCTTCCTTCATGTTTAAGTAATCCAAAGATTTGAGCGCCTTTGAACTGAGCATAGAGGAAGTTCAGTGACTGCTTGTTAGTTGTTTTTATCGAGGTAAACAAAGTGGACATCTCCAACTGCTGCTTCAGTGCTGGAGAGTGGATGAATAGACTTTCTTAACTGCCTGTTGTATAATCTAAGCACCACAAAGACACACACACACAGGAGATGTGGGGGTGTGTGTCAAATTGATGCAACTGGAACAAGTCCACTCAAGTAATATAATTATACAGCACATAGCCTGGGAGCCTTTATCTGAATGTTATTTGTTACACACACACACACACACACACACTGGGCAGGATATACATAGACCTACACATTTACTTAAATACAATAATGAAAAACCTTCTTTTTCCTACTTTTTCACTCTGAAGTTTCGGTTATTTTTGCTGTCCTCTCTTGAAATGTTTGCCTCTACAAATCCACTTAATTGCTTTTTCCAACACTAACACAATTTACATTTTTTCATAAGCGATATGGAGACAAGACTAAAACATTCTGAAATACTAATAAGTAACAGCTGGTGTAGGGTATCTTGCCGAGGAAAGGTTGTCTTGTCCGTGGACTGAAAACAAATAGTGACTTCAGTGTTTTGAAGCAATGCTTTATTCACAGCAGACTCGGTCGGGTGACCTGCAAGTATAATTATTGGCTCATTATGCCTTATTAAACCAGTAATTAAAGGAGCACTTTTTTCTTCTTCTTCTTTTTTTTAAATAAGCCTATTTTCTTTCTTGTTGAGAGTCTAATGAAAAGATTGATACCATTCTCATGTCTGCAGGTTAAACATAAGCTCCAGACAAAAGTGCCTGGCTTAGTTTAATTAGCATAAACACTGCAAACAAGGGGAAATTGCTGGAATTGCTCTGAGGGAAGGTGAAATCTCTAGAGCCTACTAATCACAACTTTATCGGCACAAAAACGACACTTAAAAACGACAGTGTGAGCTTACCTTCTTCTGGCTTCAATTCTTTACCGAGAGAGGTGCCTTTGCTTTAATGTGACTCTCAACAAGCAGTGGGCCAGTGTGTATTCATATAATGTTCCCAACACAAGATAAGCTGTCATGTCGCTACTACTTGGGCTTCATTTATAAAAAAGTTCTCATACTTTCTACATGATTTTATATTTTATAACATCTTTCCCTCATTGTTAAAAGATACCTATATAATGCCTGCACAAAGGAGGCTTTAGCAGAGGGATATATATAGATAGATATTTTCTGTGTAATTTTGTTGTGCAACTATAATGTCAAACTTTCACAATTTAATGAATTCTAGAAAAATGACTTTTTATTGATTGGCTGATACCAAAATTATTTTCCATAATGATTCATTATTTAAATAAATAAACTTTTGATTTTATATATTTCAGTTTACTCCAAATTATAGCCTCGTATTAAAGACAGCAAAGAAATTTTTTTTTTTTTTTTTTTTTTTTTTTGAGTGCATGTACCGAAAAAGAAAAGCAAACTCCTTCTGAAATGAGATCATTGTGCACCAAAAAATTTCATCCTCCTAAAAGCGTGTTTGGCTTTTTTAAAAACGTCTCAACACAAAAGCAGCCGTGGTTACGTGTCTCTAATTTGATATATGAATTACAGAACACTGCATCCTGCTTTTAATTCAAAACACCTTTGGTCTGGCAATTTATTGATAATTCCTATCATAAAGCATAAAGTTCACAGCAGGCGTGGAGGCATGTGTGTCCAAAATTGCAATAGCTCTTACATAACTGACAGGAAAATCACTAAAGTCTACACTACATTTCCCTGTCAGAGTAAGGTTTTTTTATAAACGACTGCTTATTCCTGTTTGAGTCATTTTTATAAATGAAGCCCCTAAAGTGGTTCAGTGGCGACAGGGCTCTCGGGACTTTGTGTTGGTCATAATTTCTCTTTGTTTCTTTCCCAACAGGGTCCACTTGGCTTAGATGGCAAACCAGTGAGTATTCTCAGCCACATTTGTCAAGTATGCCCAAAATGAAAGAAACAAGTTTGATTTTTAACTCTGTTTTCTTTCCTCTCAGGGTCCACCAGGTCTGAAGGGCAGCCAGGTACATCGTCACACGCCTCTTATTCTTACTTTCTTATTTTATTTAATTTATTCAGTTCCTATTTAAAGATTTTTCCTATTATAAAGCCAGCTGGACTCTGCATTTGTCCTGTAAGACTGGTGAGAGTTTGTTATACCTCATCAATCATTTTTACTCGCCCTGAGGAGTCACTGCAAGTGCGTGAAAAACCCGGTAGCCATCTTACTTCCTGTTCCACCTCTTAAGTCATCCCAATGGCTCACAGCCACGGGGGTAGTCTGGGCTCAGCTGAGCTGAGTGTTGAAATCCCCTTTGCACTCCCATCCATCAACTCGCGCCTGAAATGCTGGTGCACTCAGAGGCACGCCCAGGTGCAGCATGGAAACAGGTGAAGCAGAGCGAATGGGTTACACACCATTTGGGAAAGTAAGAAAGAGATTAGTTTATAACCTTCAGACGGAGACTCTTTAAAAAGTCATTATTGTGCCCCCTCCGCCCCTCCTTCAGCACATCGCAGCGCTCACCCACAAGAGGCATAAGTCATCAGCTGAAATGTAAACCCCCTCGCAGCATAATGAGAGCTGTTGCTCTCCAAACACCATTAAGCTGTTCCTGTTCCTGTGAAAGGAGTCCTGAGGCTGGGTGTATCCTTTAATAGGTTTCTCCCCATCAACAAGGGTCTGGCATAAAACCCTCAGAAGGCGTGACTCATGACCAGAGTTGCATGCAAACCCAAAGGGTGGGGGGCATGAAAACAACATAATAAAGGGGGGAAACATGTAGCACATTTTTTATCTTTGAGGGACTTCTGTTTCCAAAATTAATAATGAGGTTTTTATGAGCTGGCATTTGGGTTTTTTTTCTTTTTGAATCAATTGGAAAACTAAAGATTTTTTTTTTATCATTTCCCCTTTTAAAATGCCATTCCTGCACATAAAATACACAATAAATGAAATTAAACCAGATGGGAAATCAGTTTATTGAAATTCAACATATTTTTTTGTTGTGTTTTAGATCATTTTGAATGAAGAAGTTGACTGTAAAGTTAGTCTTGTTTGAACAATTTGCGGCTTGACTCTGAGTTAAAGGCTTTCTACCGCTCGGAAGAGCGAGCAGCACGGGAGATAAGCTCTGTCTGTCATCGCGTAGATAGTCACATTGACACACTGCTTGTCGTCTTCGCTGTTGTACTCTTGAACGCGTTTATAGCTCTAAGATAAAACTGTCGCCAGACACAAGAAGTTATGGAAGAAGGTACAAAATAGAACGAAAGCCTTCAAAAGGTTCAAGGCAGATTTGGAACCAGGGGACTGAGAAACGCAGACAGAGGGGACAAGTTGAGTGCGAAGGGTCTAACCTAAGTGGTGACTTGGCTTTAAGAGGTATGATCTGTCCATTGTTGTCACAGATGGACAGTGGATGCTTTCCACCTCTTATTCTTCTGCCTGTCACAGTCGCAGAGGGCCCGCAGTGAGTTTGCTGCTTGTGCTTTCACATTTGGCATCCTTATGCTCCTTACCACCACCAGCAGCAGCAGCAGCAGCATATGAGACATGGCTCACCACAGAAATGGACAAAGGCCCTGCCTCATACATAGAGCTCATGAGGATTTGAAGCTGTCACAAAGTGGGGACCGTGCACCAGTGTAGGATCGCACAGGGATGTTTGATACCCCGTGTTTTTAGTTAGCATTTCAGCATTCCTCATCTAAAACATCTCAAGAGCTCCGAAGAGTCACTGATGGAGGAACAAAGGTTTTATCTCTGAGAAAACTTTTATCTCTCAAAGAGCACTCTTAAAAGGGATTCTTGGGACAAGCTTGAGTCATTTGGTATTCTTACTGTGAAATACACTCAGACAAAAGTGATGTTTGGATTGAGCGGTCTCAATGCCATGAATCCATTAAGCAGAATAACTGCCTTGTCTTACCGTTTGATTGAAAGCTCCCTTCTGAAGGGCTATTGAAGATGAGTGTGATGTGTGATAACTGATTTATCTTGACCAAGTGTCTCTGATTTTCTCCCCCCTCCTCCCACAGGGACCATCCGGACCCAAGGGAGAAAAGGTATGCTTCAATATGGATTTCAAAAGCCTTTCTAGACAAGTCAATGCACTGTACGAGTGTATTTCGAACATTTATTTATGGGCAGAAGGTGCTCGGACAACCAGTTTTCGCTGTGTGTCCCTCAAAAGAGCCGTAGATTACATTTAGCTATGCGGGAGCTCATGTGTCTCTGCACATTCTCACGTCAAGGTACTAAGCAGGTTTACAGGCCTTCCGCAAAGCTCGATGATAGCCAGATGTTTTCCCGCTCTGTGAACCTCTGCCCAGCCTAAGATCTTAGCAACCGTAAGAGCTGTAAGTGCTGGCAAGAGCAGCCTTGTCGTGTGGTCGTTTCTCTCCACGCTGCTGGTTGGTTGTGTGTATATGTTCGAGACTGCGTTTCAGCAGAATCAGGAGGGCAACGCGACTGCATTAAAGTGCATCTGTCAGAGCGGGAATCAGCCTGATTAATGAGGCGATTGCATCTGACAGATGAAGCTGAGGTTCGGAAAATTGGCTCACTTCATGTAATCATGCTAGTAGCCCTGTGATGAGAACATGAACTCCAAAAAGTTGATCAGAAATCAGCTGTGTTCAGCATGTGCACTCCGCATTTCGACTTCATTGATATTGTGCTGTCAGATGATTTATGGCCTACCAAATGATTTATACAATAAATGTCAAAACGCTGAGCTGTTTAGGAGACAGATGACCTTTGAACCACTTCCTTCCCAAAACCAAATCTTCCATTTTAAGCCTGTCTGTCATCGCTGCTCCACAGTAGCTGAGCTCTTTTGGATAACTGGTCTGCTGCACATATACAGGGCTAATAACTGCTGACAATTGTTATTTTCCTGTTTTTCCTCCAGGGTGACCAAGGAGACATTGGGCCAAGGGTAAGTCTGTGTTTTCTGTATTCATCAGAGAAGGTTAAATATGTTGTTTTTGGCTGTTATATGCACATTTTGGAAATTATGTCCTCACTGCAGCTGACTCTGGAGAAAAGATGCTGTCCTTTATATGTTTTTTTTCTCTGTGTAATTTAAAAATGACCTTCCATTTAAACCTTACTTCCAGTTTTTGTTCTCCTTTTATTTTGAATTTTTGTCTGTTAGTGTTCTTCTTAAACATTCACCCTTTTTAAAGGTCATAAGCCGCACTTTCCTTTCGACTGAAACAAAGGACATACAGTACTGTGCAAAAGTCCGGAGCCAACCCTCATTTTTATCATATTTCGCTTCCAAGGAGCCAGACTGTCTTCTCATTGTTAAAGTGGTCTTGAGCAATAGCTCTCAAGGCTTTATAAAGATCTTTCAAAGTTTTTGTTTGGACATTGGCTGCCTTTTCACTCATTTTTCAGTCCAGATGTTGTTTGTTTGTCAAGCCACTTAACACTGGACCGAGAACCAGTTTTAGATTGTGTCCTTAGGCAATTTGTTATTAGCCGCCTGTCGCAAAACACATCATTTGTTCACATTTCTTTAGTTGAATCGATGAAAACTGCCAAAGGTAACACAGTTTGACAGACATAAAATATCATTTTTGCCACAATGAGGTGATTCCTACAGAAATGACGGGTAACTTGAGGCTTTTACACAGTCCTATTGAAGTTAAAGAGAAAAACAGACGCTTGACATTTTAGAAATTTGGCTATTGCATGTGAAGCAACGCTTTAATGTGTTAAGTCAGTAAATAGAAATTCTGTTAAGTAGAGCCAGAGTTACAGTTTTCCCAATGCAGAGCTGTCTGTATGCTAATTGGCTGCTGTCTGAGATGAGTGGTAACACTCCTTTTATATGATTTTTGTGAGACAGAACCATCAGTTTTAAAAGCTATGCTTGAAATTAGCTTAATGTATTTTAGCTTCATTATAACTGTAGAGCTTCCTCAGCTGGTTTCTAGTCTGCTATCACAAACTGAAAATCAAATGTCAGGGAGACTGAAGTGTTTATGTCATCTGAAAACCACTAAACGGTTTATTTGTTATCACAATGCAGGAAAAATCTGGATAAATAAGGATAAAAGTCTCGGTCTGTCTATAAAACGCATACACAAAGCATTTTAATAATCCAAAAGCAAACGTGTGTTTACCCAGTGTGGCTTCCCCACACACAACTGCACTGACAGCACACGAGGTTGGAGTCGCCCATCTCCAAAGCCAAAGCCAGACATGAGAAATGACGTTATTAGCAAACATTAAACCTGCCAGAGCTCCCGTCTCTTACCCAAGCTAAGCTACTTTTTTTTAACATTACAGAGAAACCTCACCCTGCATCTGGTCTATGTTGTCAGTGCTGCCTTTTCATCTGATATCATTCCTCCCTCCATGAGAGCTCCCATTTCATTTAGTGTGGTTTGAAAATAAAACCTCTGTTCTTTACATGGTAAACAGTTTCAAATCTTTAAAGAGGTCACATACCCATGAATGGTTTTTTTTAGAGCGCTTAGATCAGAATGCCACATAAAGCCGCTTCTTCACATGAATTTTAAAGTGGGGATGAACATGAAAATGTGTTACAAGCATGTTTCTAATGGCTCTAAAATCTTCTCATAGCCATTCGTTTCTTGTGTTTATTACCACCAATATCCTTCGATCTGTCCATCCATCCATTTTCAACTGCTTATCCTAGGTCTGGTAGTGCATGGATTGTAGATTAGAAATGTGGAAGTACATCTCCTATGACTTGAACCCCAGTAATGGAATCACAGAAGAGTCTACGATTATTGGAGTTAAACTGGCTACTGTTTTATACCAAAAGCTAAATGGAGAGTAAATATGATGTGGCTACTCAACGGAACAGTATTTATGATGCGGTTCAAAAAATTACAGAAATTCCTGATTTCTATCAAGGCGTAAGCCATTTGATTTCCCCACCTATCCTTTCAGATAGTTTGTGCAAGAATTAAATCTCCTTTGGCATTTCGCATTACATAGTTATTCCAAATGATAAATATTGCACTTGGCCCAGGCCTCTGCAGCTTTGATGTCCCTGGATAAATCTGCAGCCCCAAAAACCTCAAGCTTGGTTCAAATCAAACCCAACAGCTCCTAAAGCTACTGTAGATGTGGATGAGGTTTGGCTCCCTCATATAGGTTGTCACAGATACGGCTGTAGATGGGTTAGAAAACAAAAATCTCTTGCTTGCTCAGTACTATTTTTAACAGTCGGATTGTCTTCAGGTCATTAAATATGCTCATTTATCACCTTACTGGGATTTCAAAACTGTATTCAAAGGTTCAGCTTTGACCTTTACGGGCAGATAAGCGTATGTGTGAAAACAGAAAGCAACCGCAAATCTCCGTCAATGTGCCGCTTCCTGTCAGTCCATCACTTTTAGTGCCTCTTCCAGGCTGATTCTGGTCTTAGACCAGGGTACCAAAACAGGATAACAGGGTTATTAAAACAAAATGTTAAAGAACCACCAAAATGATGTGAGAAAAAGGTCATGTATAGTGTTGCGTCTTTCTCCAAAGCAACTTTTTGTTGAGTGGAGTAAAGCTGGTAGCTATTTTTCCCAAGCCTCCATACAGTCAAATCCATACGGAGGACATTGTCACTGCATGTTTAGGTTCATCTGGGGGCTGTATTGAAAGACAAGCTCTGATGAGAGTTTGATCCCCTGCCAAATCCTGAGTTTGCCTCCCTGAGAGCATCTGCAAACAGGCCATAGTGAGACGGGCCTCCAGGGATGAATGGCCATTTGTCTTAGTATCAGCCTTAAGTCTGATGAGAACAATGTAAAGGGGAAACCCACCATGAAACAGTCTATTCTCTTATGCAGTGTTTAAGGAGCATATGCATAAGTGGTCTTCATGGTGGGAACGGTGTGAATAAGCAACTGTGACAGTGGGCAGAGAGGGGTGCACAGGCCCAGAGAGGAGGAGGTGGAGTCTGCGGTAGTGCAAAAACCTCAGCCATCCAGCCCTCACTAGAGCCTGTTAGCAGAACCTTCTCTAGCAGCTCTTCTTCTTCTGTCACTCCCCCCCCCTTAGATCTTCTCCCCATCCTTCCCTCCCTCCCTTGTGTTTTTGAGGGAGCTGAACCAAAGAAGCGACACAGTGCTCCAGGCTCTGCTCCTTTCAGTCTGACAGACAATCAACACATTTACTGTGTTGACTGGAAAGAGCCAAACCACCACTGTTTTGTTTGGTCACAGTGGGAATGATCGGAAGGCACTAAATGTTGTGCACGCACAGACACACACACACACACACTACTCCAAAATGATTTTTCAAGGGTCAAAAGACAGCTATTGGGCCTTACTTGCAGATTTTACGGATGTCTGTCTCACGATTTGCCGATGATGCATTTTATTTGCACCTGATGGGTTTTTAACTGCATATATAATTCGATTTGAAACAGCTGCAAACATGACTGTAATGCTGCGCTATCTTGTTCACCTTTTCCTCTTCTCTTCAGGGTCCTCCTATGTACGGCACACATGCAAGCCTGCACAGTAATCAGATTCTCACTGTTAAGGTTTGTGCCTCTTAGAGAACTGCTGTCGGACTGCCGAGCTACCGCTATCCCTGCAGACAGAGGAGCAAAACACCTCTCTTGCAGTTTTTCCCTCCTTTCTTTGTGCTTAGAGCTTAAGAGGCTGTTGAACTCTTATCTGTTTTTCCTGCAGCATTTGTTTTCATGAACTCTGGACTCACGGTTAACAGCGGACCTCTGATTTCCAACTTATGTAACTGACGCTCTTCTCGCACTCACTTTAATCCACTCCATGTCCTCTTCTCTCTTTTTTCTGTATCCCCTCTCCTTGTTTTCTCCCCTTTCTTTTCTTTTCATCACTGGTGCACCTCTTTGCATCGTAGATGGTTTTCCCCAGAACTGACCACGGCTTTCTCTCGAGAGAGCCGACCAACAGCTTTCAGAGACTCTTTCTGAAGGTAGACCACAACTAAAAGGCATGTGTGCTTTTTCTTTTGTTTCCTTAACACTTTAACCCGCTTTTCCTTTTCGTGTTCTGACTAGCGTCTTCCCTTCTTTCCCACTTTTTCCACATTCTTCAGTCATGTTGCATGAAATTGATCTCGTGTTTCTTGTCTTTTGGTCAACTAAAAATGTATTGCCATGAATGAATAATTAAAAGTGTTTATATTCAGAGCTCCAAAGCATTTTGAAACATAGGAAAACATCTTTGGAAGATGAGCCACCCACACTGTAGAAATGTGCGGTTCTCGTTAATCTTACTCCTCAGTGTCGACATCACTTCATCACTTTGGTTCAAGCTCGAGCCTAACAGGGACATAATAATTATCAGTGCATAGGAATGAGGTTCTAGTCTGCTTTAAGGCACTGTTATATCATTTTCATGAAAGTGTTTTTGACAAAGCAAACCATAATGCACCACATGTCTGTAGGGATGGGAGAATAGCATCAAAGTGGAGACAAAACTGGTGCCTAATTTAGCCTAAATAGGCAGTGGGATGGTGGTAATTTTCAGTAAAAAAAGATGGCACGCAGTATAAATCCAGTGATCAGATGTATTTTTCACTTACAAATGAAGTTGTTTTGCCAGCATGGATTTGTTTGAAATGTCAGTCTAACTCACCAGATAAAAACTGTTCTTATTGGCCAGTTCCTCCTGCTGCTGTCCTTTATTACCAGTGCCCTGGTACAAAACCACACTAACTAACCAGCTGCATGCCAGTAATTGCAAGTTAAGTTTGAGGGATTTCTGCTCATAGCACAAAGCATATTTAAAGCTTTTCTTAATAATAATGTGTTTGTGAGATCCGTGGCTTACAGTGACACACAGATAATTATCACCCAACTCTGCAGTTTCCCTCAGCTCTACAGAACTTTTATCTCCCTGTTTTCTTACTTTCACTCTCTGCTCTCTCACTGCTCTTTCCTGGCAGTCGTTGCGTCAAAAAGAGAAAGAAACTGTAGGCCCCCGCGTTTCCTCTCAAGCACCAAACAGCAAACAGTGTTCTCAACTAGCTGTTAAACATATGTGGAGCATTTAGCAGATAAAGAACCAAATATTTTTCTCAGGAAACTCGACGGGGTCTAAAATACGTGGGAATTTTGCAGTCATGTTTATCAGGTGGAGAGAAAGGCAACTGTAAATAAATGTTGGGCAAATAAATAAACAGATTAAGGATTATACACCTTGACTGCCCACAAAGACAGCTGCAGAAGCTGAGGGGTAGTTCTTTGATGTTTGCCGTATAACCTTAACAGGTCGCTGGCATGTCAGTGTTTGCTTCTGTTGCCAAAAACAAATCAGTTAATGGGGGCGTTTAAGGAGTTTTATTTTAATATATTACGTTATCGTGTGTACTTAATAATGTATTTATTACAAGTTTGTAGTTGGTAGTTTATTTTTGCATTTTTTCCTCTTCTTGTTTTTTATCAGGGTGATCAGGGTCAGGCTGGACCTGCTGGTCCTCCCGGTCCCCCAGGTCCTCCAGGTCCCCGTGGCCCCCCTGGGAACACTGGTAAAGATGGACCTCGTGGTCTTCCCGGAGAGCCAGTAAGAGCATCTTTTTATCTCTACCCCTCTTCTTGAGCTAGCCATCGTTTCTTTACATTTGGCTTCTAAGGAGCCAGACTTGTCTCGAGCAACAGTTCTCCAGGCTGTCTGTAGGTCTTTCAAAGTTCTTCTGTGGACATTGACTGCTTTTTCAGTTATTTTCAGAGCAGGCCTTTTACCTGACCGATAAAAAAAAAACACCATTTGTTCAAATTTCTAAAATTGAACTAGCAAGGTGATTTCTAAAGAGTTCTTAGCTAAAAACTTGGCATATCCCAGCATGGTGTGCGGTGTGTTCTTAAAAAATCTGAGGCAAACCTGGCACAGGACCTGAGAGACGCATCTAGCCATTCACTGAAGACTCATCAGAAATGGTCTCAGTCGAATGGTGGCTGTCAGTAAGCCATTCTTAAGAAAGAAAAACAGTTAAAACGGCTGAGGTAAATTATACAAGAACTTAATTGAAAATAAATGGCAACATGTCGTATAGAGTGATGAGTCCAAATTTGACATTTTTGGTTCAGATCATCGTCAGTATGTACGGAGGAGGTCAGCAGAGAGGAACAGCAGTTAGTGTCTACAGCCATCTGTAAAACACAGCGGAGCTGCAATTAAGCCAGCAGTGTTGAGGATTTCATGAAAACAGACGGCATTATGAACAATGCAAAGTAGAGTCAGATTTTGATCCTCCATGCAATAAAAAACCTGAAAAGCTTCTGACTGGCAATGGCTTCATTTGTCAGCATGACAAAGATTCCAAACACACTGCAAATGCAGTAAATGGCCTGTATTTATATAGTGCTTTACTTAGTCCCTAAGGACCCCAAAGCGCTTTACACATTCAGTCATCCACCCATTAACACACTGGTGATGGCAAGCTACATTGTAGCCACAGCCACCCTGGGCGCACTGACAGAGGCGAGGCTGCCGAACACTGGCGCCACCGGGTCCTCTGACCACCACCAGTAGGAAACGTGTGAAGTGTGTGCCCAAGGACACAACGACCGAGACTGTCCAAGCAGGGGCTCGAACCGACAACCTTCCAATTACAAGGTGAACTCCCAACTCTTGAGCCACGATCGCCCGGTAAAAGCATACCTGGATAGAAAAACAAACAGTGGAACACTATCAGTCATGGATTGGCCTCTTCAGAGCCCAGTATCGAAGCAGTGTAGGCTCATCTTGACAGAAAACAGAACAAAAGTTCCCCAAGAAGCCTGAAGAACTATTCCTGAAGACTGCTTAAAGAAATGACAAGAAATCTGCCTAAGAGAGTTCAGGCTGTGTGAAGAATAAAGGTGGCGACACCAAATATTGACTTTCAGGCTTGTATTTAAGTCAGTATTTCCATGTGTTTGCTGACGTTTCAATAAATCACTGCACGTATTTCCCATTTTCCTTGTAAAATATGAAGAAATGATGGATGACTCAAGACTTTTGCACAGTACTGTACAAGAGCCAAATCCACACTGACTCAACAAAACAATGCCCTCCCACCCCCACTGTAGATCTCCTCTTACTCCATCCCTTCTGGCTGTCAAACTAAGGTTACACCACAAGCATTGCAGCCACTTAGAACACCTCAGTCATCAGTGGCTTTGTTACTCCCATCATACTCTTTAACCACAACACTGTGACAGATTGCAAACTGTGTAGCTCCAACCTGTAAATGTGGAATCCTATACATATATTTAAGGGGTAAGGGTGTACACAGCAAATGGCAATGAACCCCTATTCTCATTTTTCTGGGATTTGCCAGCATGCTGTGGCTTACCTAAAGAAGTCCCAGAATAGCAAGTCTACTCCTGGCCTCATCTGTTTTGTGTAAGTTAGCGGCCACAAAGTTCTCCAACACCCCCCCTTTCCAAATCCACATTCTCCCACCCTCCTACCACAACTGTGTTGCTGTGCACGCTGAAACTGATATGGCACTGTGGTGAGTTCATGGGCAGTTTGCCTGTCTCACCAAACAATAGTACACTCCTCGCCTGTGGCCGTTTTCGTTTCTTAAAATTAACTTTTTGCTTCCCAGGGTCTAGTTCAGATGCAGCAAAACTTGCAGCTGTGGTTATTGAATTGAAGAGAAGGAGACTATGAAGGTAATTTTTGTTTATTCAAGTGTAGGAATGAATGCGCTGTTACCCTCAACTGGCACAAGAGGACAGCAAGGGATTCAAGTGAAAAATGTTGGTTTCGGTGTGGGTCACTTGAGAACTGCTGAACCAACAGCAGGGAAAGCCAGCGCAGCTCAGAAAATGACAAAAAACAGACGGGTCGAAGAGAAAAGGGGGCCCATCCTGTAACCTAGTCGATTGCAAATGTGCTCTTCAAGTTGATTAAAGGAGTTGCAAAACCCCAAAACAGCAAAACAAAGCACAGAGGCCTGCAGAGCCACTCCATGTTGTAGGCAGATGTCTAAGAGGGCCGAGCGGGAGAAAGTGAGTGAGACTGCCAGCCCTGGTGTACTCAAACCTCCATCGTTTTTTATCTGTTATATAGAATGAAATGTCTCATGCTGTCGGGTAGCTCTGTCACCTTAAAGTAAGAAGGTACTGGGTTTTAACCTTCCAATCAGCAGGGTCTACATGTTCTGCCTGCATGGCTTCCCACAGGATAATTGTCAAGTTAATTGGCAATTGGTTGGTTCGGGTGGATTGATGACTGTATGGATGGATAGATGTTGGTAAGGAAATATGATGAGAAAGAAAGAGCAGTGCCAAAAAGATGAAAGTAAAACGGGTCCAGAAAACAGTAGGAAGGATCGCGATGACACTTTTTGCACGCTGGCCAGCTGGAGAATATCTAATCAGCTTCTGCATATTACTGAATGGAAGGCTAACAACCTTCAATTTATATCGTGCATTTATTAGGGTCCACTGGCTGATCAAGTAAACACAACTACTTGATAGTAGTGTGTGTATCTGTGTGTGAGGAAGCAATGGAGAGAGGCTCTTGCACAAGAGCCCTCTAAGCTGTCTCCGCCATGAATGACTTCATAGCAGATGTTTAGCTGCTTCCACCTGGCTGTCGCAGACAGTCGCTAAAAAAGATCTTTTTAGCTAAATAAAAAACATGTTAGCTCATTGATGGATAGTTTGTGCTCACTGGCTTAACACTCATCAAACACAGACTTCAGTTTGAAGGCTTCAAATTCAAATCCAACTGCAAACAGAATAAAACTTGTTTAGTCTTCTTTTGTATGAATGGGCGTCAAAGCAAAGAAAGAAAACTCTCTTAATGCACACTTAAGGGGCATTTTGCAAGTCTCTTGAACCCTTTTTGGGGAGGTCGACACGCCATAAGATTGATCATCACTGCTGACACGGGAACACCGCTGTCCAACAAGTTAGACCGAAGTTGGGTTTACATCTGGCTGTTGGAAAGGCCAAAAGAGCATAATTTTCAGAATTTTCCTGCTTATCCATGCATTAGGTAACCAGTTGTGGCCTGTATTGAAGCATCTGTCTTTGTTATTTTTCTCTGCTCATCATTCATCCATTTCCTGTAATTATTCTCTAAACAGTCCAGCTCGTGCTGAAGGAGCTGAAGTCTACAGACTGCCTTGAATGCCTTATTGAAAAGTGACATCTAGTGGCCAAAAAGATTCATGTTCCTGAAGTAGATTCACCTCATTAAATGTCTCCTCTGTCCTTTCAGGGTTTTCCTGGTCGCGATGGAGCTGAGGTGAGCAGAGTTCACACTAAGCTTTAAGAGTTTGTTTCGCATTTTGTTTGGTTTACAGCTGAAGCAATTTGGCTTTTGCTGTTGGAGTCTTTTTAGTCAGAATAATTTGACTGTCTGAAAAATTCATAATTTATTTTTTTTATATATTTCCACCTCAGGGGCCACAGGGACTGCCTGGGAGGCCGGTAAGACTGCTAACAAACTATTGATCTTAACTGAAGTGTTGCCATCAAAGGGCTCAAAAGCTGTTTTAATATAGCCAGATATGTAGCTCTCTCTGCATTTAATGGCTCTTTTGAATTGCTAGGGAGAAGATGGGCAGCCTGGTTATCCACAACAGGGTGTCCCGGGGCAAAAGGTAAAGCCGAGCTTTACTCTACCACTCTCATGTCTCTGACATGGATGATTTTAAGTATGTTTCTAACCTTTAATGTGCATTTAAACAGGGCGAGCCTGGGAATGCAGTAAAAGGAGAGCGAGGCATGGATGGACTTCCAGGATTAAAGGTAAGAAACATATCTGAAATTGTTTTTGAAATAATAATGATCAATAATAATGCTAACAATTATGCTATGAAAGAGTTTTACCATAATATGGTGTTCATGGTGCAAACAGGGTGACAAAGGAGAAAGAGGAGAGCAAGGACTACAGGGAGCCATGGTATGTTATTTGTTATGCTTAAGGGCCAACTCTGTCCTTCTGCTATTATGCTGAGCCATCTATGCATCTCTACATTTATATAAAATATTCCTACATTATTATTTTTTCTGCCTCAGGGTTTTCCTGGTGAGAAGGGCACCCCGGGTGCTTCAGACATCATCGACTTCAATGGGAAGCTTCTAGATGCTTTGCAGGTGAGTCATATTCAAGTGTCGGTGTCAGCGACACCCGATTCATTCAGCCGCTTATGACTGAATTCCACATAAGGATTGAGGCAGAGCTTTTCAAAACAAGTAAATAAGTAAATAACACCAGAGCTGGCAGTGTGGTAAAAAGAAACCAAAAACTAAACATGTCGCCATTTCTCCTCGACAGGCCATCAACACCATCAGTGTTTCGGTAATCTGCTGCTGCTGTTGCTGCATGTTTTTGGCGGTGTGACCAGTAACTAACACCAATGCACAGATTTGCATCTAAGCATCTCTTGTGTATTTACTGCATCGCCCGCTTTCTCTTGCTAATGGGTTTTGTTTGTGTTTGTAGATGCCCTCAACAAAGAGTGTTGGACTTCATATGTATTGGATGTCACTCTAGGGGCCACATCTAAAGAGCATTACTGAGTGTCTCAGTTTTCCAGAGTCTCTTGTGTATTTGTTTGGGACAGAAAAAAAAGCACAGCCCTTACAAATAAAGCACCGCTGTGCTATCAGATGACATGCAGCCTAAAGAGCTTTGATTAATTATGCAGAAAAATCAAAAGCCTTCTGTGTTTTTATGGCATGTATGTGAAAAGTATGTGTTTGAAACCTGCTACAGGGCAGCATGGTGTGTTTTACTTTGTGCTAGCACATAGAGAAGGGAGCGCCTCACTGTCAACACAGTCTCACATCACTCTCTTCAGACACCAGCTTCTTTGATCCTGCTGTACACCGCAGTACGTGCTACTGGCAGATGGCTCTCTGAGAAGTGGAGCATGCATTTGATTTAAAACAATTATGAACCAGGTCCCCCTGGAGCTGAGCTCCTGCATGCAACAATCAATACAAGCAATATAAGAATGTTGCAAAGGGATTGGTGAAAGCATGGACCCGAGATCTTATCGGAAGCTATTTGCCATTGCGAATTAGTTGGCACAAATTCACACGCAGGGCTCCACGGAGCAGGTAGCGCTCACTGGCCACCCACCTTGTGAGTTGATCGCTTGTTTGTGTGAAAAGCAGCGTTTCATGTGCTTGTTGTGAAATGTTAGGTGATGATGAATTTGGTTTAAAACAATGCTAAGATGGGTTGTTTGTCACTGTCAGTCATTTTGCAGATGAATAGCATTCACTTTCCAGTGATGGAGTGTCTGGGATCAAATAGTTGCTTGTAAACATCATTTTCCATGGCTTTAAAAGCTGAGAACGAACAACAAGTTAGAAACTGGAAAATGAATCGTACACCTCTGGGAGGCGACTTGGCTTTTTTCCTTTTTATTGCTTCAAGATGACCGGAGCCTTTACAAGGAGGAATAACAAGTGTAGCATTGTGAATATAAAGATTAAGTGGAGTGATTTACAAGAGCTATCACTCATAGCATAACGGCAGAGCTGCATGGGAAGAATATGGCCTATTACATATATGCACGCCATTCTTCATTCATCATTAGGGTTACATAAAGTCACATGAATGTTTTCTCCAGCAGTCCCATCATTCAGACAATCACAGAGAGCCGTGCCAGGCTATTGTGTAGCACAGACCACATTCAGAGCTCTTTTACAATCTCTGTAAGATAAAAATTGCTTCAAGTTGGTTGTGATCAGCAAAAAGGAATGAAGGAAGGTTTTGGACTTGTTTACTGTCAGGCCCACATTGTGAATTATAGCGTTTTGTGTTCACGATTTGGGCCTTTTATAATGAGTTACCAGCCTCACTGTGATAAACAGTGTGAGAGTGAGCAGATAAAAAATGCAGAAGATGTCTAAGGGACTGTCTGAAAATTGCAGCTCTAATTAAAGCCGTTATAGTGTCATATTTTTATATGATGCATATGACTATTTGTAAGAGAAAGACCTCCTTAGCTCCCCACAGCTTTATAGTTGCTTTCAGGTCTTGGTTTGATCTGTTTGAGTTTGGTCTCACAGCTCGCACGAGCAATTTTATCCACCAAGAGAGGCAGCTGTTGTTAGCACGCCAGCCCGGCAGCAAGTGACACACAAAGTCGGTGACTAGCTGTAATCAGCTAAACCAGAAAATCAGTTGCTGCTAGGTTAATTTAGTCTAACACAGGTCATGCAACAAAGCTTTGTGCTCATTTCTTTTATTCTGCCTGTTTTTCTCCAGGGGCCACCTGGACCACCAGGACCTCCAGGACCTGCAGGGGAAAAGGTAAGCCATACAGCTGTGATTGGCTGATATTTATTGTTTGATAAATACCCAAAACATGCTAAGCCTGATTTTGTAGACAAAGTCAGATATATTAGTCCACCGAGTGCATCTTCCCTCTTTTTGTTCTGCATCAGGGTGAGCTCGGGTTACCTGGACCAGCAGGAGTTGACGGGGAGAAGGTAAAGCGACAAAGAGAGTATATTACACCCAGACGCATGCTCCTTTTCTTTCACTACTTCATATAGTAGTCAGTGGGACGTTTAGCATCATCTGCCTTATTAATCTCTTCTTCATCTCCAGGGACTCAAAGGTGACATGGGTGAGACAGGACCTCCCGGCATGAGAGGAGAGAAAGGCGAGATGGGTCTCTCTGGGCCTACTGTAAGTAGCGACAGTGACTCTATTTCGCTAATAACACAATGGTGACAACTTTAAAAACAGCTGAAAGTTAATCCTGCTCTTTGTGGCTCAGGGTATGGATGGACAGAAAGGAGAAAAAGGCGACTGCAGACTAGATGACAACTTGGTTAGTATGAGTATGAAATACATGAATCCTCTGACGTTCATTACAGATTGCTGCACCTCCAAACAGACAGTTTAAAGGGAAATATATTGTTATTTATTTGTTATTTGCATGTTTTGAACCATCTACTTCATTGCTTTAAAGAACTGAATAATGTTCACACTCATTGATGTAGATTTTACTCTAGTTTTAAGTTCTTTCCAATTGATTTTCATTTTGGAAATGAGTGAGAATCTAAAGAAGTAAACACATGAAACAGTCTGAAATTCTCTGGTTACTTTGAGGAACGACTATACAAAGTTTTGAATTTAGCTGAGAAACTCTTAACCACTTTTTTCACTTAATTTATATGCTTCTCTTCTTGTTTCCACTTTTTCATTGGTGCTAAAGGTTCAGATGATTTCCCAGCCAGGCCCACCTGGCCCACCAGGCCCACCGGGAATACCTGGGCACCCTGGATCCATGGTGAGTACCTGCAGCATAACTTTATATCATTTCAGATAAAACAAGTCCAGTCAGGTCTGTAGTTTGCAAAGACTCACATCACACAATGTCCTACAGGGGCTGCATGGAATGCCTGGTCCTAAGGTAAGCTCGTTTATCTGTATGTGATGGAGGCGGATGGCAGCTGTATGATGCATTGTCTTGTACTCAGTGTGGCTTTGCTGTAATGCAGGGTGAACCAGGAGTGGGGATAAAGGGAGAGAAGGGAGACAGTGGTCCTCCTGGATCCAGAGTAAGTGATAATGGGCTTTATTATTATTCTAATGTGTTGGTCATGGCTCAAGAACTGGACATGATGCAGTGATGAATGTGTGCTTTTACTGCAGGGATCAGATGGCCTCCAAGGTCCACCTGGGTCTCCGGGCTTAGTGGGCCTTCCTGGTGCCAAGGGAGAGAAAGTAAGGACACAACAACCTCCATAAAAGTGTTTAATAGATCTGTTGTTCGTTGCTGGTTTATTCATTATTTTTATTAAAAATCTTTCTCAATGTGTATTTGCAGGGAAGACTAGGAGAGCCTGGACTTGATGTGAGTTTCTTACTAAGAAGAACTATACATGTTGACATTATTTTATCACAGTATCTTCAGTTTAAATAAAGTCTGACATATATTGGGTAATAAGTTCCCTTATGGATTGTGGTTTTGTATCCAGGGTTTCCCAGGCCTGAGGGGAGAAAAAGGTGATCGAGGCGAAAAAGGAGACAAGGTAAGTCCAAACAGATCCTCAGTTCTCCTCCAGCTTATCGCATCTTCCTCCTTCAGTTTTTTAACATAGCAACAATAATGACTGACTTAAACTGCTTAAACTATTTCCAGTGTATGAATGGGCTGTCTTCATTAGCTGCATGTGATAAGTGTATGAATTTGTTTAACTGTTGTCCTCATCACTCCCAGGGTGACAGAGGAACAGTAGGGAAGAGAGGTCTAAAGGGCCAGAAGGGTGAACAAGGTCCTCCGGGTCTGGACCAGCCTTGTCCTGTGGTATGTCTCCCCCACACATGTACACACAAAGGCTTTGCAGCAATGCTCATTTACTTACTCCCACTTTCCTCTAGCTTTTTAGTTTAAAAACACTTAGCATATATCTTATCTCTGTTTCCCCCTTTAACTGCTTTTCTGAACTTGTTCTTCTATGCTTTAAATGTCTACTCGGCTCCTGCTAACAGGGGTGCGATGAGTCTAAAGAGCAGTCTGTGAAGGCAGCGGTTTCTTCTCCTGCAACTCCTCCTCTTCCTCCTTCTGGCCCTGAGGGCCCCTGTCCTCTGGTACAGTATCTTTGCTTCTTTTCCCCACTTCTCTCTGATCACTGTAACTGATGCTGTTATTGACTGTTTAAACGCTTCTTTAAATTTTGGTCTTTTGGAGGGGGGGGTCCAACTGGTCCCAACTCTGAAACATATAAACTGACATTTACCAACACATTGTTCATGTGGGTGTGGCTTAATAACAATAATAATAAAGAAAGGCGTTCACAGATAATAAACAGCAAAACTGTCTAGGCCCGATCAAGCCAAAAAAACGTAAAGCTTGCTATGAATTTGTGAAATATACACACAATGCCAAGTTCCAGAAATGCAGAACTACTTACTATACTTGATTGCAAAGAAGAAAACAGAAGAGGAAAAAGCAGGTGTAATCAAGAAAATAATAGTAATTAATAGTTTCGTCAGTATGAAGGATTGTGCAAAATCAGAACCACAGACAGACATTTGGTAAATGCTGACAACGAGTTACATATGAGACATGGTACAGTTCTTAGAATATTACTGTAGCTGGTTGGCATCGTTTTGCTTGGAGACTAGTAATAGAAGGAAACATCTAGCATATACACTACATGGCCATGGAAACCCATGGCAGGAAGTTCCTGGTGCACAGTTTCTGTGCTGATGTTAATGCCAGAGGTTTGGAGCTCTGCACTTACTGAGGAAACTTTTATGTGCTATGCAGCACAGCACTCAGTAACTAACTTTATATGGTCTGACACTTTCTGGTCAAGTTGTCATAGTTCCTAAATAATTCCACTTTACAATAATACCATTTATAGTTGATGAAGATATTGCATGAACTGACTCAGCAAGCTCTTTGCAATGACCAAATATTTCTAAAAGCAGATTGCATGGATAGGTGCATTTTATCACACGTCTTTTCAGAGATAAAGAGGTGTGTCCCAGTACTGTCAAGATAGTGCACCTATCCAAAGCGAAGCTAAGTTAACTGGACTGCTGACTGTACCTCTTATTTAACAGATCGACCATCGTGTTATCCAAGTATTTCTCCAAATATCGAAATGTTCATTTTAAATGTGATAATAAAAGTAATGTGGTACTTAGAAATCTGGATTTATTAGAGTAACATATGACTTAAAATCAAAACAAAAGTAAAATTTGATTTTTAATATAACACGCCTGACCGTGAAGGCACACCAACCGACATTAAAATCAGCAGCGTGCAAATTCTTCAGATGCAGGGAAGCATGCATCGCTGGACATTTTCACGCTTTTTTTAACTTCTGTTTTCACCTTGCAGGGACGTGACGGGCTACCCATACCGGGCTGCTGGCACAAGGTGAGTGTTAAAATTTCGAACATGTTTTTTTTTAATCATTTTATGAACTTATGAAATCATTTCCAAATGATTTTGATACAGCAGAGAGTGCTCTGGGGGAATGGCTAACAAAGTCAAAACACATGCTTAGTATTATTCAATTGAATTCATATTTGTTGGCTTATTTGACACAGGAGCATTTTGTAAGTATATTACAGCCTGTGTGCGATTTTGTAATTGCAGTGCATGAATATCTGAATGCAGTAGTTATTTGCTCATTTTAATTCTTCCGCACTAATCAGTCCATTTTTTCTTCTTTTGCAGTGATTACTAACCAGCAGCATGGAATCTGTACATATTGATGTGGTATATATTGCAACAGAATACTATGCCAACAACCCTACTCCCTTTTTTCCTTTTTTATAAAATCCTATTATATAATATATTGAGACTTTGAGAACAAGGACATATTTGGGTCTACAGTATTAAAAAAAAATGTTTAAACTCGAGATCCGGTGTTGTTGTTGTGAAAGCAGCCGTGCTTTTGAAGAGACTGACGTGACGTGGCCGTGAGACTCTTAGTTTGGAGGACAGTCCAGATGCCATTGTTGGAGTAGAGGAGTGCCTAACTAACAAAGCCTGCCTTGTTGCCTGATTGTCGTGTGCGCACTCGTCCATTCTCACAGGATGGATGCTTGAAGAGATGGACGTTATTTCGCGGCGGATGCAAGAGTGTGTTGTCAGTACTCTCTTGTCCTCTCTCTGTTTTTGTTTTGAAAGGAGGAAATGGCAAGGCAGAAGCTCAAACGCAAGCGTCTCTCTCAGCCCTGAAACGGTGCGGGGCCCGGTTGGAGTAAGGACACGTAGACACGCAGAAATCACAAGGGGCTGATTTGCTTTTTGCAGCAGAGCCGGCCATGTAATGCCCCTGTGTCAAACCGAACTCTCACATCCTCCGACATGGAATCTCTCCAAGAGGACGCAAACACTGCGTTTCCACATTCACCTCAGAGGGAAAGATGAACCTGCTTCTGATGTTTTGTAAAGGCTTGAGGTTTTCTGAGAGTCAATGATGTCACTGGCACATAAGGAAGGATTTTCTGTGCAGATAGTTTGAACATGTTATGGTGATCTCTTAAATTAATCTTAAGTCAGTAAGTAAGTTTTCACTAATGCATGATCATAACAGTTTTGTATAACATGCTATCGGCTTGTATGACTTGTGGTCCCTCATTGAAACCTCAAAGTGCATTGATTTTTACATACAATAAGCATTTTTTAAATGAACAAGCCACTCAGAAATGTTAGTCCACTTTTTTACGGCTGACGTTTATGATGACTTGTGCCGTTTTGTTTTATTATGGTATATTTTTACCTATCGCCAGTTTCATTTTTGCATTCCTGTGCATTACCATGATTGTGAGATGACTAGGTAGTGAAACTTTAAGGTCAGATTTGAAGGAACCATTAACAGTATTCATGATAAACCAGTGTTTCAGTTGCTTGACAAATGTTTGCCAATCTTGATGCGTTTTGACTGATTGTTATAGTTTAGTCACAGAAAGAAAGGAAAAGATGTTTAATTACTGCTGCCAGTCTTTCCTGGACAACAGTAGAAGTCCTTGCTGCTGACTTAAATGTTTGTTGTTTGTTAGATAGCTTTGAATCAATATTAGTCATGGAATGCAGGACTAACGCTCTAAAGAAGAAACCTTTAATCAAACATGCACACAGCAGTTGTTTTGGCGGTAGTTTCTTTTTCATTCAGCAACATCTCAGCACAGTGGTTCTAAAGTCTTTGCAGTCAGATGACTTCAACTAGTTTGTTGTGGTTTTTGTAATACATTTTCCTCAGACTTACTCATTTATTGGTGCTTAAATACTTTTGTGTACTGTTCAAATAAAACACAGACACGCACAAATGCACACCTTTTAAAGAACTGTAAAACAAATGGTGAAATGGTAATCTGTGTTGGCTTGGACACTATACACAGGACTGATAATGCATAGGATCAATATATGCAAACATATACGTATTAATGGAAAGTGATGTTAAAGTTGTCTACGCATTGATATTTGTAATGCAGTATTAAAATTACTCAGTAATGATCTTTTTGAAAGGCAAAATACATTTTCAGGTTAATCATTTTTGGCAATCTACAGGTTACACTGGTTAGTTGTCTTCAGTACTATTAACCCATCACCACAGAGGCTGCTAAACAATTCAACTAATGCTGTAATATTTCAAATGGATTTTATATTACAACAGTACATTTGTAATGCTGACTTTCTTGTAATTATAAATATCTTAATGTCCTATAACCAGGCTCACGTTATGTTCGAGTATGGTTTAGGCTGCAGATCCAGTAATTAACAAATTTATTAGACTACCTGTCATTAAAAATCATAAATATTTTAGAAATCTCTTAAAAATGTGTTTAAAAATATAAAAAATATATATATAATGTTTGTTTATTAGGCAAATACAAACTGAATTCATGTTTTTTTTCTATCCAAATTTAAGCTGGCACACTGGACAACAACAGAAATTATATTTTAGTATTAAAAATATTATTTACATAAGGTAGTTGTATTAAACTGGTGGATTAACCAGTACAGAAACATAAGAAAATGATTTTGGTTATGACCAATACTGTTAATTTGGGGCAGCTGTGACATAAACCTGACACCAGGTGGTGGTTTAATAAATTTGTTAAGCAGTCTTCCAACAGAATATTTCCTGTTTAAGCCTCAGATAAGAAGCTGTAACAAACCTCATATCACCTTTTGTTTATTATCATTTTGCATGAAGTCTTTTACATTGTACCTGCAAAGTTGCATCACTTAAAACACAAAACAATTTCTGTATCAGTAGAAAAATATGTTAACTTAAATAACACATACTCAAAAAACTAAAAGAAAAGGCATCACATTAAGCTAAAACGAACTTTCTTTGGGAATCATGATCAAATGTGTGTTGAGGTTGCAGTTATGTAGAATGGTTTAAAACGCAGGTTTGGGTTTTGTTTCATTGGGAAAGCTGGTAGTTATCTGCCACATTACATATGTGCCTTGATTTCTTTCGCAGATTCTATCAGTGTCTTTTTTATGGCTAAATGAGTAAATGGCGCCATGTCAGGATAGTTTGTTTTAGCAACTCTTTTACCACAGTGTTAGCTTAACTTTGTGAGAATGTTTTTGTTTGCTCTTTTTTGGTTGGGTATTTGGTTGTAAAAGATTTAAGCTATTTTTGTAATTGTCTAAAATGTATAACATAAAATCTGGTAAACTAAACATGTAGATGGAAATAAACCCTCTAGTTCTATGGTTGCTTGTCATTAAATATATCCATGTTATATTGTTCTGGTTCATTCATTTTACATTAAAACTAAGAGGTGCAGCCAAATCTGTGCTGTACTTCATGCATTGAATTTAGAATCCTTCTAGACATTTCTAAGTCCTGAATGATCAGGTCAGGTTAAGATTAGCAGTTGAACTTTCCTTTAAAAAAAAAAATCATATACTTAGAGATGGATCGAGTGACCTTGATTCATCCCTTAATTATGTTACTATGGCAGGGGTGAGCATCTATTTACCATTCTCTTCATCACATGCCACCACTGCATGTCATTGAATTAAATTGTGCTCTCTTCTATAGTTTTTCTCCTTATCTCTCTGTGCACCCTTTCTTTTTCTCTTATTTTTAACCCACACAGCAGCCTGCTAGTTGAACCTCAGATACAGGAGAAACAACGTGATTTTTGTCCCAGTGGCAGAACACTGGACCAGGGCACGCTGGAGAGATTATATCTCTCAGCTGGCCTGGGAATGCCTTGGTGTTCCCCTGGATAACCTGGAGGAAGTGACCGGGGAAAGGGAAGTGTAGGCTTCTCTGCTTAGGCTGCTGTCCCCATGACCCAGCCCTGGATAAGTGAAAGAAAATGGATGGCTGGGTGGATACACAAACACCTAGAGACAGAAGATTAAAGGAATAATATTAGAAAATGTTAAGTTTCATTTGTCATTTTATGCATATTTGGACAGAGGAGCAAAAATGTACACAGTACCAGCAGCGGCTGTATGCATGGGGACAGCACTGATAGATGACAACACATCCAAGCTACCAAGTTGATGTTTAGAAGAAAATATTTGTAAAGCTCAGAAATCTTAACAAGCAGTCTATCATTCATATATATATATATATATAACACCCAGCACGCCCCTGCGGGCGGTTTATCCTTCAAGCTCGGGTCCTCTACCAGAGGCCTGGGAGCTTGAGGGTCCTGCGCAGTATCTTAGCTGTTCCCAGGACTGCGCTCTTCTGGACAGAGATCTCCGATGTTGTTCCTATGGAAGAAATATAGTATCATCAGAATTCAAGTATTTTTAGACATTGAATTTATGACACTGAATTTTTATCCTCCAAATTTCCCTGCAAAAATATTCACCTGCAAAAATTCACCTGCAAAAAATTCACCTGCAAAAATTCACCTGAAAAAAATTCACCTGTAAAAATTCACCTGAAAAAAATTCACCTGCAAAAATTCACCTGCAAAAATTCAACTGCAAAAGTGATGAACTTTAATGACCCAAGCCAGAGCAATCAGCACCAGATCGAGTCGAGTGGCTCTCAGCCAATTAAATTACGCTGTTTGATCACATGACACCGTTAGCCAGCAGTGTGTCTCCTAAAAGAGAGCTGTTTAAAGGTGAGTGATTAAGTTTTTCTCCTAAATAGAGATCATTACAGAACGCCTAGTCCTACTTAAAATCCCATTTATTATTTTTTTTTTTTTTATCATCTACTCGAACTAAGGAAAACGTTTGACTAACTCAAAGACAATTTCCACGCCTCCCCTGCCTGACTGCAGAGGCAGTTTTGAATTTAGGAGCGCCAAGATGGCAGCGGCAAACCCTGGCGGCTCTCCGGTGAGTATATATATATTTTTTTATCTTCAAGTTTGTCTTTTGAAACCTTAATTTTATTTAAATCCGTTGCTCACGTATAAAGTACACAGACGGGGTCTTTGCTCAACTCGTCTGAGGCGTGTCTCACTAAGCGCTACATGCTAGCATCCTGCTAACCGAGCTACCCTTTACATGCTGTGCTTTAGAAAATGGGATACTCGTTAAAAAAAATACTCCGCAGATATTGATAGATAGACGAACACTGCAAATATAATGTTGGAAACGAGAACGGCCTTTGGTGAAGGGGTAAAATACACCATGAATAGAGCCATAGAGTGAATGGCTGCCATGGTTGCAGAACAGCCTGATTTAATGACAAGAATGGGGAAGAGTGAGGTGAAGTGAACCACAGCCACAAAACACGGTCAGACAAGGCGGCAAAAGGGCAGTGATCTGTCCGTCAGTATGAAGTTGGTGTGTGCTTTGGTGAACAAAAACTCCAGACTGGTAGCAGGAAGATGGGAGACTCGTGTTTCACTGGAATAGTGGTGAATTAAAACATCCTTTGTTGGGGACATTTCGGTGTAAATGCATCCATACAGGCAAGACAGAGGCAGACTAGACAGTGAAGAAAACAAGGCAAACATTAGAAATATAAAAACGGAAATATAGGATGAGTCGGGGATGAGTTCCTGCCCCAAGTGGAGGAGTTCAAGTATCTCGGGGTCTTGTTCGCGAGTGATGGGAGAAGGGAGCCGGAGATCGACAGACGGATTGGGGCTGCAGCTGCAGTAATGCGGACGCTGCACCGGTCCGTCGTGGTGGAGAGGGAGCTGAGTGTAAAAGCGAAGCCCTCAATTTACCGGTCGATCTACGTCCCTACCCTCACCTATGGCCTTTACATGACTAACGTCCCCTCTTCTCCCTACCTCACATTAGCCCCCATCTTTCTTCCAGGTGGAAAAGACCCGTCACCTTCTGGGAGAGGCGGCTCCCGTGGGAACAGCTCCCACCACCAAGTCCCTGAGTGAGTCTCTGTCCCCCAGCGTGAGCTCCAGCACTCTGTCCACGTCCACCTCCGCCTCCTCGCAGATCTCCAGCACCACCTTTGAAAGCGTGAGAAGGAGCTGGCCACCAAGGTGAGAAAAACGTGGGCTTAGTGGGCGTTCTTGTTGCTGCCTTCTTCCTTCTCTGCTCGGAGCTGATCGGTCTTGTTCCTGTTGTGTTGTAGTGCCTGCGCCTTCTGACACACACCTTCAATACTGAATACAACCAGCTGGTGAACAGCATCAGTGACTGCAAGGTGAGAAATAATACAAAGAAATAAAAAAATAGCCTTTCTGTGTCACATCAGGGAGTTCCTATATTGACGTCTACCTCATCCTGCTGTTGTTTCACTTCAGCTTTCTCTCATCTCACCGATCGGACGTGATCCATCCGTGACGAGCTTCAGCAGTGCCACCCTCACCCCTTCCTCTACCTGCCCCTCTCTGTCGGACTCGCGCTGTGGCTCCATGGGCCAGAAGTAAACATATTTTTAGGAACATTGACCTCGATCTGCAAACGGTTATTGACAGGTTATCCATTTGATTCTAACTTGGTGTGATTTGTGTTAAAGGACCCCTGAGAACAGCTCACGTGCCTCCAGTCCCTCCTGCTCAGACTGTGAAAACTTCCCGATGGTTCCCACTCTGGAGACCTCCTACCTTGCGCGGGCTGCAAAAGAACGAGTTCCTGAACTTGGTGCCTGATATTGAAGAAATGCGACCAGGGTGAGTAATGCCATATTAACCCAAATACTGTCACTATGACATGTGTCTCACAGACCAAATGTAAGTCGACACTCATGTTCTCTAGTTCAAGCAGAAATGATGTGGATCGATTCAAATTCCTGAGCCTGGATGATTTCAGCTGGAAACAAACCAACTCTGCTTCTTCCTCAGATAATTCAATTCAATTCAATTTTATTTATATAGCGCCAAATCACAACAAAAGTCACCTCAAGGCGCTTCATAGATACAGAGAAAAACCCAACAATCATATGACCCCCTATGAGCAAGCACTTTGGCGACAGTGGGAAGGAAAAACTCCCTTTTAACAGGAAGAAACCTCCAGCAGAACCAGGCTCAGGGAGGGGCGGGGCCATCTTCTGCGACCGGTTGGGGTGAGAGAAGGAAGACAGGATAAAGACATGCTGTGGAAGAGAGACAGAGGTTAATAACAGATATGATTCAATGCAGAGACGTCTATTAACTCATACTGAGTGAGAAAGGAGACTGGAAAGGAAAAACTCAATGCATCATGGGAATCCCCGGCAGCCTACGTCTATTGCAGCATAACTAAGGGAGGATTCAGGGTCACCTGGTCCAGCCCTAACTATATGCTTTAGCAAAAAGGAAAGTTTTAAGCCTAATCTTAAAAGTAGAGATAGTGTCTGTCTCCTGAATCCAAACTGGAAGCTGGTTCCACAGAAGAGGGGCCTGAAAACTGAAGGCTCTCCCTCCCATTCTACTTTTAAATACTCTAGGAACAACAAGTAGGCCTGCAGAGCGAGAGCGAAGTGCTCTAATAGGGTGATATGGTACTACAAGGTCATTAAGATAAGATGGGGCCTGATTATTTAAGACCTTGTATGTGAGGAGCAGGATTTTGAATTCAATTCTGGATTTAACAGGAGAAATCTGCTCTCTCTTTCTAGTCCCTGTCAGGACTCTTGCTGCAGCATTTTGGATTAGCTGAAGGCTTTTCAGTGAGTTTTTTGGACATCCTGATAATAATGAATTACAGTCGTCCAGCCTGGACGTAATAAATGGTAAATGCCCTGTATTTATATAGCGCTTTACTAGTCCCTAAGGACCCCAAAGCGCTTTACATATCCAGTCATCCACCCATTCACACACACATTCACACAATAAATGCATGAACTAGTTTTTCAGCGTCACTCTGAGACAGGATATTTCTAATTTTAGAGATGTTGCGCAAATGGAAGAACGCAGTCTTACATATTTGTTTAATATGTGCGTTGAAGGACATGTCCTGGTCAAAAATGACTCCAAGGTTCCTCACAGCGTTACTGGAGGCCAAGGTAACGCCATCTAGAGTAAGAATCTGGTTAGATACCATATTTCTAAACTTTTCAGGGCCGAGTACAATAACCTCAGTTTGATCTGAATTAAGAAGCAGAAAGTTTCCTAACAGAAAAAACATTTAGAGGGGGGAAAAAAAAAAAAAAAAAGCAGAAAGTTAGCGGCCATCCAGGTCTTTAAGTCTTTAAGACATTCCTGCAGTGTAACTCATTGGTGTGTGTTATCTGGCTTCATGGACAGATAGAGCTGGGTGTCATCTGCATAGCAGTGAAAATTTATGCTATGTCTTCTAATGATGCTGCCTAGGGGAAACATGTATAATGTAAACAGAATTGGTCCTAGCACTGAACCCTGTGGAACTCCATAATTAACCTCAGTGTGTGAAGAGGACTCTCCATTTACATGCACAAATTGGAGTCTATTAGATATGTCACAAACCAAACTGTACACTGGTAAACTGTTACAATAAAAAAGACCGTAATTTTCTTTACGCTTCTTTATTTATGTAACTTTTGTTTTCACTGGCAATTTAGTGTTAGGTTAGGACAAAAAACAAATTAGGAAGGTTAAAGACAGAACATTACTAGATTGTGGTTTTAATTAAAATGTAGCCTTTGACAATGCTGAACACATGAGAAGCTACTTTAAGGCATATCACCCAATTTGTAATATTGCTAAACATTTCTTAAGGCAGACGAGTCATGCTGGCTGGGTCAGTGTCATTTTTGTTGTAATTGATGTCTGGTTTGTTCTGTTCCCTAGTGATGGGTAGGGATGGGTACCAGTATCCGGTGTTCTGACATAATCCTTGAAATAGTAATAACACAGTATCCTCAGCAAAGATGAATTAAACAAGTTTTATTTTAATGGAAGTTTACTTCAAGTCTTCAGATTTTTACTGTCTTTTATTTGATTACTTTAAAGTATATGATTACATTAGAGTAATTAAATAAAGACAGTTTTGATGGAGCTCCTGAGCCAGCCCAAGCTCTCTATGAAGACGAGGAAAAACTCCCCTGGGGGGCCAGACTGACGGGAAGAAACCTCGGGAAAGCCCATTCAAAGAGAGATCCCCTTTCCTGGGATGGCTGGGGGGGGTTACAGGAATTCCAAAACACTGAAATTTAAAGTGGGCCAATTAAAAAAAATTATTTCCTGAAAAAAAGAAAGGTAATTCATACATCACACATAAATGATAACGTCTGAATTGTGTGTGTTTGTGTGTGTGTGTGATAGCCTTATCTCAGCCAAGTGTGATGCTGTAGCTCCTCCAGCGTCGGCCGCGTCTCCGGGACTTTGGTTAAACAGGCGTCCAAGAAATCCCGGCAGTCTGGAAAGAAAGGAAAGAGAAAAAACATGAAGATGATAGTTCCAGTGGTCCAAGCCATCAATCAGTCTTGAAGTGTGACGTTTTCTTACTTTTGGACAGATGTCTTTTGAATTTCAGGCGCTTTTTGAGGAAGCTCGTGGTGTTAAAGTCCCCGGCATGAAGCGCTTCGTACAGAACCACTCCCATTTGCCATACCGTGGTGGGTCCACACCTGTAGCAACTGCGCCCGTACCACTCGGGAGGGGAGTAAATTTCTGTACCTAATAAACAGACACAATTGCAATTTCTTCTAAAACAAAAGGCGAAAATTGTGACATCTGTGAAGAGCAAGAGCAGAATATGTTACCATAGAAGACGCGGTACTGCGACTGCTCCTTAACAAAGCAGCTCAGTCCAAAGTCGATGATACGAACACGCGGTACATCTGAGCCGGTCTCAATTAGAATGTTCTCACTCTTGATGTCCCGGTGAAAGATGTGTTTATCCTCCAGGTGCTTCGCAGCATCAACCAGCTGCTTCAGAATGACCTGGAATCAGAGCAGGGCGATATGACCAAAAATATTTATCACGATATACATTTGAAAAGTTGCGATAACGATATAACTGACGATATAACTGACACTAGACAAAATACTTTACAACTCCACAACTTTATTAGTGCAAAAAACCCCATAAATGTATTTTCACTTAAACAAGCAGCTGTTTTTTTATGTGCATTAAAGTTATATAAAAATGTAACAGTGCAAATGCAAATTCCTTGCTGACAGTTTAACCAAAAGGCATTTCCAGTGGAAATTGGCCGACATATCCTCAGCATAACCATGTAAAATATCCACAAAGCTTAAAAAGAGGTTATTCACACACAATACGGTAATATCACGTTGAGGTGCAGTACGTATCACTCCGCGAGGCGCCTGCCTACGATAGCCGTAATGCTCCGACAATCCATCGAGCGGTGCGGCTTTGTAGCTTAGCAAAGTCGCCGTGTACATAAAATCGTTTTGAGGTCAGTAAACACAACCAGAATTCATACATAAGGCACACGGGATTATAAGGGGCACTGTCGAGTTTCAGAAAAATCAAAGGATTGATTTTAAGTGTGCCGTATTTTCCAAACAACACGGTAATAACGGCGGCCCGCTAGCATGCGCTACCAAAAATCGTGCTTTGTTGTGTATCTGACGGACGAAAGCTAAACCAGTTCCACACCACTAAAGTTGCAGCATTTTTACAAACCAGTTCTGGTTCATCCGTTTCATTCAACGATCCACTTTTGCTCTTCTCTTTCTGCGTCACCACCATCTGCGTATGTAAACATAGGCACTGCGCATGCGCGTTTTACCTATTCTAGCGCGATATTTCATTTTCCTATCGTTGCCCAAAATTACACCGGTATTACCGTGAATGGTATGATATAGCCCAGCCCTACCTGGAAACGATGAAAAAGACAATAATCAATCAATGGGTTAATGTTTCTCTAATACTCTGTGCTTTGATTGAATGATGTACAGTCTAAGACTCTTCTAAGGCAAGTCAACTTGCCTTGGCCTTGTCCTCTGGCAAAAATCCTCCATTTTCTTCTATGTATTTATCCAGGTCCACAGCGGGGACAGGTCTCTCCATCACCAGGATCAGCTCTCTGCCAAAGTCAAACCACTCCAACAGAGACACTGGGGCTGATGTTTCCACTGATCCATCTGCTTCAGCTGCAAGCTTCAGCATGATGGCAACTTCCACTGACACATTCTTCCCGTTATCATCCTGAAATATTTCAACAAAGTGGATGATGAGGCACAGACGTTCCACAGGTGAACGCTGCATGCAATCCACTAATGTAAAAACAATTCAAGTCTTGCACATTTACCTTCACTTTGCAGTACACTTTCCCCTTTGGGATGTGTTTGATGGCCACCTAAAAGACACAGGGAATTGATGAGCATTTCCTCAGTATGACATCATTAAAGGTGTAAAACAGCTTACGATATTATCCCTTATCTGCGTTACTGCCTGTCTTACTACCACCATCTGAACACTTACTGGTAAATGATCCTTTATGCGGTAGCCAGCAAACACTGCTCCACAGCCTCCTTCTCCAAGCCGGTGCTCCTCCACGTATCTCGCTTGGAAGTCACCTAAACAGACAAACACAAATTGGGTTTTACTACAGCTGTCACACAAATTACTCTCTGCTGTACCCTAAATGTTCATTTTGCTCTTCACCTGAATATAAAAGCTAAGCTGCTTGCTACTTACGTTTCTGTTCAGCCACTGACTTTTTGGCAACGGTTTTGGTTTTGTCCTGGTCCACGTTCTTTTTCTTAGGTGGGTCCCTGGTGTCTCCCGCAGCTTTCCTTTTGCCAGCCTTTTTGTTTTTACTGCAGCTCTCTGAAATCTCTATGCTGCAGTCTGCAGATGTGGAAAACACCAAAAGCACGTCAGCTTATTAGATAATAGACACAAATATCTCCCAAACACTAATATCTTCAAACTAGCAACCAGATGTACACTTAATCTACCCCTCACTCAACTAATTAGCCTACCTTTACCAGTGTCCAACCAGGAAGATGCCTGCCCCTTGTCACCGCTCACATGCTCAAGAAGTTTACGCTTCTTTGCTGTATTGGTTGTCCCCGCTTCATCTTGTTGGACCTTTCGCTTAACTCCCCCGACCACATGAGCATCTGAGCTGGTGGAAGGACCAGCCTGCTCAGTGACCCTCCTTCTTTTTATGGGGGTCGTTTTTTCAGGACTGGCCTTTCTTTTAGCCATCCTGCTCTTACAATCTATAAACAACAACAACAACAACACATTAGTGAAAAAGAGCGCTCGACATCAGGACTAGAAGGATTTTGATGTCATTGAATTTTAAATTAGTATTGCTTACAATATAACAACAAGTTTATCCTTTTGATAAAAAAACACACCAACACGAGTCCATACTAGGTCTACTAAGTCTAGATACTGATGACACTTGTTGCTCTGTTTTCACTGCTCAGTCCAAGAATAAACTTGTCACATTATTTTACCAAAAGACAAAGTGCCCCAGTAACCTTTCTTTGATTAGACATGTTGCACTCAGGTTAGTTTCAATCAAAACCAGGATTTAAATCCTCTAAAAATGAATCATTTTATACACAGAGCCTCAACATTGTTAGAAATGTACATTCTGTTATTTGGGGGATTTTTTTTTTTTTTTTTTTTTTACTTACTTTGATCTCCTGGATCTTTCTTATCTGCCTCAGTCGTAACTTTTCTTGTTTCCTTTTTCATCTTAATTTTTTGAGAACTTTTAAAATAGAAAATGTCACCTTAATGAGTGAATAGTCCTTCAAATGTCTGGATGCTTGACTTTTCTAACTAAGCTGTATAAGTCAGTTCTGTAAGTGAGCTTTAAAAGTAAACTCCGGAGTCTATGGCAACACAACATTAGAACCTTGCCTTTTAGTGACATCACTAAAAGGCAGTGTCCCAAGTAGTTTAAAGAAAAACACTCTGGCATTTCATATAATTCAGTAATTTCACATTAAACTTTCTTTCATTATCCTTTCATTATTTGTTTAAAGACTTGATGTGTGGATGCTACTATGAAGACTTCTAGTTGAGCAAACACTAATAAACACTGACTAGTTTATCTGAGATAAAATATAACACTTTTTTATTAAGTCAGTGTTAACTCTGTTTTTTTCTGTTAGGATCATTCAATAGTATCAGAAGAGAAAAGAAAAGTATGTTTTGTTTTGTTTTTTTTCTTCAAGATCTGTTCACATGTACTTAGCAAGAGTGAGTACACAGCGTTAAAAAAATGGTACTTAGTGTAGTGAGGAAGGCGAAAAGCAAAGAGAGCATATGAAGGTAATATTGAAGAAGGCGCAGTTTTGAAGTGGTGAAAGGCAAAGGCATGAGTGCAAGCGTAATAAAAGGTAATAGGAGAGATGTAGAGCAGGCGGAGGACTTGGCTGGAGCAGGAAAAGGCAAAAGGGGAAACGCGAGTGCACGTCTGAAACTTCTTCACTGTCAGTGAATCCTAATTCTTAAGACTAACTAAGAAGAATAAATCTATGTATGAATGTCGTTTTGAGCACATCTCCTCTTTCTACTGATCAATTCTTCCACCTAGTGGATAGATGATAGTATTGCAGCTTGTCTCATCACCTGTTGTGTGTTTTGTGTGCTCCAGAACCTGCGTCCTGTTGGAGTACTGTACGTAAAACACACAAACACTGGAGTGAACACAGCTGCTGAACATCTCTATATTCATAACTTCTTCCTGTTATCTCATATCTGTCTCCCTTCATCTGTGTAGGAACGGTGTACAGATGTATGATTATGTCACTCCTGCTCCTCCACCTAACACCTCCACTCCAAACTAAGTTTGCTCTGCTGCTTTGGTTCACTGATCTGCAAGTATCTGTCATTTGTTTGCAGATGTCTGCAGGAATTATTGTAATGATCCATTAATGGTGCCTGATTTCATTCAGTTTTACAGCTTGTCTCGTGTTTTTGAACTGCTTCCCTCACAGTTGTACACAGTGCTAACATGTGCTCTTACTCTGTGTTTTATTCCTGAAGAAAAAGAAAGTGCCCAGCCCAGCAGGATGAAGATGGGCCATACGTCAAGAAGCCGCCAAATGCCTTCATGCTCTATCTCAAAGAGCAGAGGCCAAAGGTCATTGCTGAACTCAACATCCCTGGAAGTGCAGCCGTAAATGCAGTGGTGGGACAGAGAGTAAGTGTGTAACTCTGCATACATTTATGCATCTGTTAATGTTGTCTGCTCATGTTTTTGCATGTGTCCCAGCTGTCCTGTAGTTATGTGTAGTAGCAGTGCTCACAGTGTGTTCTTATGATCTTCTGTCCACAGTGGAAGTCGCTTTCAAACGACCAGAAAGCCAGATATTTCAAGCAGGCTGAAACAGAAAGACAGAATCATGCCAAAGAGCATCCAGCCTGGTCGACCAAAGAAAACTATGTATGTCCAAAGTGCCAACATGAAGTTCCTACATGTGTGCATCACTGCACTGAATGATGAAACAGTCACTGCACAGAGTTTGTATCAGCTAATGAAAACTCTGTGTTTGTTTTCAGGGCAAGAAGAGGAAGAGAATCAGACTTAGAAAAGGTGAAAGAAGATTTCTTGGTATCACAGCATCTTACATAAGAAATGTGATGAAAACGAAACAAAAATGTGTTGAAAAAAAGAAGACAATGTATTTTTGTTTGCGTTGCAGAATCTGCATCTGTACATGAAGAAGAAGTTCAACAAGCCAACAACTTGTGTATGAGGCCAGCTGAGTCACAGCCATCTTCTTCTTCTCATTCATTTCTGACAGAGCCACATGAGCAGCCACAGACAAAGCCAGATGACAGCAGCGTGCCTCGCCAGCAGCCAGTGTGTTTGCAACTGCCAAACACACAGGCATCACCCTACACACCTCTCTGTCAAGAAAATCAGGTCTCCCCTGCCTCTCACATGAATTTCCCTGAGGACACCTCAGTGGACTCCCCTGTTGCAGCCCTTCAGTTCCAGACAGAGGAAGCCTTTGTCGCAGACAGTGAGGAAGAACTGCTGTCAGTGCTGGAAGAGCTTGACCCCCTCCCCATCACTGCGCAGTCTCAGCAGCCCTCACCCACCCCTGCCTCTCCTGTAGATGCCTCTCAAACTGCATCAGTTCAACCCTGAGTTGAATTATTTCAAGACCGAGATGAGCCCATCTGTTTTGCTGAAATCCAAGAAGACATGTGGTCAGTGCTTGACTACCTCCCCGTCTCTCAGCAGTCTAATGTGCTCTCCTCTCCTCATTCACACAACTACTCGACTCCTAAACAAAATCTCATCTGTCCTGCTGATTCCCCTCCATCCAAACTGGCGTCCTCCCCTGTTGCATTCACTGAATTGCTGTCAACAACCCCCATCTTTTGCCAACTAATGAAAAACAATAATTTCATTATAGACGATTGGACTGATTTCAATTGAATTAAACTGTTACTCCTGTTATTTCAACATCTGTCTTTGTGTAAATAAATAAAAAAATAAACAAAAGATGCTTCTGTCATAAGTTACAGCAGGATGAAACAACCTTCATGTAGTTCTTGTTTTTAACACTGCAAACCTTCTTTAGTTCTTTTGTTTCCTTTCATATTCAGCACACATCTGTCAGTGTCCACTAACTGTCAGGGAAAAGCCAGATAAAAACACTGTGGGGTCTTTTGGGACACGTGCTGGTTGGGTTTACTCATAGATATCAGAAATGATCTGTTCTGTATTCAAAGGATACACGAAGGACGTTTGTATTAAATGCAATATAGCGACTGATCATATGCTGCTTTCTTTGGGGGGTTTTCACCACTATGTTACACAAATCCAGTTTCTAACTGAAAAGAAAATCCTTCACCATTTTCTAATCAAATTCCCTGGTTTCCCATGTCAGAGATGTCATGGCTGAAAGGATCATCGCATATTGAGCTCAAAGCTAAACTCTTGTGTAGGGCCTCTTTCCATGTTGCACCATTCATTTTAAAAAGTCCTGGTAACAAGAGACAGAGGTGACTTGATGTATTACAGTTACTTCCCAATTTACAGAAATGATGTGACTTCTGACATTTTCCTAGCAGGAAATGTGCTACTGTGGGACACTGAAAGAATAAACAGCAAGGCACGTTTTGTTTTAATAACTTTTCTTTACTTCATTTGTATGAACTAGGTTTACCTTACAAAATCTTATACTGTATATAATGTTTTATGTTTAATTCATGTCAATGTCAGCTCGTGTTTACTCGGGTGAGCAGTACCGGCCCACAAAGAGAATGCTCTTGGTGGGTTTATGTCGGATGAAGAAGATGAAGGGATGGTCGGCAACAAACTCAGCGGGAATCATTATAGAGCGGATTTCCATGTCAACCCCAGTGGCAGCAGCAGCCTCAGCTCCTTCTTCATTTACATCCACGAAAGCCTTGTGGACAACTTTGGACACTATCAGGTCATTTGCTGGAGACATTCCTAGTAGATGAAGAGCCCAGAAATCAGTTGTTTTATTCTTTAACAGATGATGTTTTGCAGTTTTTGTGCTCTCAATATAACTGTATAATTGATTCAGTGTGTCTCATTGGTGCAATATTTCTCACCAGAGAAGTCTCTCTTGTAGATGTCAAAAGCGTTCTCCATTCCCATGTTGGTCAGGATTTTCTCCAAGTCATACTTCTCCATCTTAAATCGAGGGAGCTTGACATCAACCTCGTTGGGGCTCATGTCTGGGCGAGTCCAGTCCACAAAGTTCTGATAGGTCAGCTCCTTCTCCAGCTGTGTGGATACAGTGTCACTAGCTTGTCTGATTGAAACTGGACATTAAAGTACTGGTAAGTGCATCTTACCTTTTCCAAGCCTGTGGTATCATCTTCTATGTCATTAGGCAGGAATATGAGCATGCTGAGGTCATTTCCTTTATACGGCATCTCAAGAATCTGTCCAGAAACATTGTTTTTATTTATTACTCCATCAAAGATGATCTGACTTCCTAATCTAGAAATTTAGGCTGATATTTGTAAAAGACAAGTTTTAGATCATGCTGGTGAAATCCTGTAATAAGCTGAAAGTGATGGATGTTACCTTGCAGTTGGCCTCAGGAATGGTCGCAAAAGGAAATTTACTTTTCTGCTGCATCATCTTCACCGGCTTAGTGTCGTTCTGAAAAATAGGGGAGACAAGAGAAATGTTTTTTGTGTTTAGTCTCAAAATGATCTCAAAAAGTTCTGTCATGGTTTTATTCCAGCCATTGAGTGGATTTGGATGTAGAGCACACGTCACAACACAATTTGTTCTTGTTAGCCGAAGTTTGTGATGTGCTGTTGTTTGAGATTTATTTGAGAACTTATTGGATATTACATGAATAATAAACTGCATTGCATAACTGCATAAAGTTGGAAAGTGATCGTCCTAAAAGCACGATTTTATCCCCTCAGAGCTCCAGGCTTTATGTTCTCATTCAGCAAAATCCACAGCTCGTTTGTAGTATGACAGATCAAAGTATAACTGCACCATCCTATGCTGCCTTTCTGCACTGTTACCTTGTTCAGTCGAAAATGCACATCAGCAGTCTTCTCCTCCTTAAACTGCGTGTTCCAGCTGCCCTTGAAGTAAATGGCATTCACGAGAACCAGCTTCGTCAGGCTACCCACTGCATCCTGGCTTAGCAAGTCCTTGATTTTATCTGGTAAAAAGAATTTATGAAAACTATTAACTATTACCAAAGATGCACTAGTTACTGTACAACATCTTCAGCTATAAAATCAGAAAACAGGGCAACAGCAAGATGGTTTTTATTTTAAAAAAAGGGGGAAAAAGCTTTATGATCAGTATAACAGGGAACAAAACAAAAATTCAAGCGTAGGCTTGAAGCCACTGAGGTGGTTGTTAGCGGGGGTGACGCGATGCTTCTGGTATGCATGAATTAATTAAACAGTCCAATAACTCCAGCAGTACTTATCTTGTCCTTTTTGGTCTTTGTTCCAAACATTTTAAGATAAAAGCGCAGCGGTCACAAACGTTTTGCCTTCTTATGATTAACAACACACCTGACGCTGATTACGTGCGTCCACCTTAAATACCTTACATAAACCTACCATACAGAAACTTAAAAAGGTGGAATCCTCAGTGGTGCTTGGTGCCACACCCTCAGGGACTTTAATGTTATATAAAAACACTGACAGCTCAATATCTACCTCAGTCACTCTCCCTGATCCAGCTGAGTCACCAATAGGAAAAATCTGCTTTTCACAGGAACTTGGTAACAGCAATAAGAGAATACGTAGTTTATTCCAAGAAGATATCGTCTCTCTCCCATATATAACATCTTATTGGAACCGATATGTTCCAGATATCAAGTGGAAGACAGTCTGGATGGTCCCCCATAAATATTTGATTGTAAATAAGGTGAAAGAAGTCTCATTTAAAATTCTACATAAATGTTATCCAGCCAGTCACTACATGGTAAAATTTAAAAGGGACATAAATACTAATTGTACTTTCTGTGGGGATCATCCAGAAACTGTGACGCATCTTTTTTGGTACTGTTCTTTTACACAGAGATTCTGGAAGGAATTTAGCAGGTTTGTTATTGTCCATATTTTAAGGGAGTTTTCTTTACGATGGGAAAATGTTTTATTCTGTTTGTTTAAGTTCCCCAAGAAGTATGAGAAATGTTTTTTATGATGAATTTGTTCATACTTTTAGCTACATTTTTTATCCATAAATGTAAGTTTACTAACAAAACACCATATTTCTGTCATTATTTTAAGGATGTGGAAATGTACATACAATCAATATCAGACTCCACCAACACAAAGGCTCTCAAAACAATACATGTATGTGTATTCTTATAATTGTTACCCTTTTCTTTTACTCTTGGCTTTTTGTGTTCATGTTCTGTTGTTTTGTATACTTCATCTGTTCGTATGTTGTATACTCATTGTTTGTTAAATAAAGTAAAAAAAAAAAAAAAAAAAAAGAAAAAGAAACTTAAAAAGGTTACCTCTAGCGGCAACATGAGGTATCAACCCAAAAATGGCTCCTACAAAAATAATGGGATTAAGATTGTCTCATTTCCAGCAGGTGGCACCACAGTCCTATAACCCTCATGGAAAGTCCTTGTATCCTATTATTATAGATGGTAGATTTATAAATGGCCTGTATTTGTATCGCGCTTTTATAAAAACAATGAATGAATTTCCTGCTGCACTTAAGATAATATAAAGATATAGAATCAATAGCAGCCAATCCTAAATGGGCCTGAAAAATAAAAATATGTTAAAGACACAAGTGATCAAAGTAGAAGTACCCATCACATAATATAATAAGAATAGAAGAATTGGCCTGCTATTTACAGCAACATACTGCTGTGATGGTTTTATTAATAGCATGAAACCAAACAGTAAAACCCAGAGATAGTGCTGCTTAATACTGAATAGAAATTAGACTGGAAGAACTGGAAACAGAAAATAATGTGGACGGTGGACAATCCGGTAATAATGTCTCAACTGAACACAACACAACTGATCCCCAAGGATTTACAGTGGAGATCATTTAAAGTTACATTATGCTTACCTTGTGTCTGCTTCTCCACCCAGCTGTTGATGTGGACCCTGGCCTCCTCTGCATTTCCTTTGAAGTCCACAGACTCGAGCTCAGCGTTGTAATGCTTTTTGGTGCCTTTTAAAAATTCCTGGAATTGTGAAAATAAGTCACTCGAAACAGATTCAACAAACTACGGAGACTTCAATCAAGTTCAGTCACTGTGTTAAAACATTTTCAGTCCTTTGGATGCAGTTGAAGCTTGAACTAACCAGTCAGCCTTTGTCTAATAAAAGATTAAAGCAAATAGCTTGTTGGATGCCAATTTAAGTAGCCAGCATAGAAAAATACACAGATTGTGGGTAAGCTGGTTTGTAACGTTTCGGTTCAGATGGCAGCAGTTTTTGCTGACAAATGTAAGTTTTAGTATTTCTAAGTATTAATAAATTACTGTTTTACTTCTTTATATATTTCTTTATACTATTTGCAAATATTTTAAAAGTTTAATCTGCTGTGATGACTGGAACACAAAGGAGAGAAATGGTGCCTTGTCTCTTGTTATGAACTGTAAATAGCTAAGTGCTTAGAGCAGCTGGTCCTAGCACACTTCAAATCCTGTCTCCCCCCCACCCTGGACCCCCACCAATTTGCATACCGCCAGAAGAGGAGCACAGAGGATGCAGTCTCCATCGCACTGCACTCTGTCCTCTCACACCTGGACAACAACAACACCTACGCCAGAATGCTGTTTATAGACTTCAGTTCAGCATTCAATACAATCCACCCCTCACAACTCATCAGGAAACTGACAGACCTGGGCATCAGTTCCCTCATCTGCAAATGGTTACTGGACTTCCTGACCAACCGCCCCCAACATGTCCGGCTGGATAACCACTGCTCATCTACCATCACAATGAACACCGGTGTACCACAAGGCTGTGTGATGAGCCCTTTCCTCTACTCCCTCTTCACCCACGACTGCAGACCTGCTGATGGTTCCAACACCATCATTAAGTTTGCAGATGACACCACGGTGATTGGCCTCATCAGTGACAACGATGAGGCCGCCTACAGGGAGGAGGTGGATCGTCTGGCTGAGTGGTGCGACACAAACAACCTGCTGCTTAACACCGAGAAGACCAAGGAGCTCATCGTGGACTACAGGAGGAATGCTGACCCACATCCACCCATCCACATTAAGGGGACGGCTGTGGAGCGTGTGAGCAGCTTCAAGTTCCTGGGAGTCCACATCTCCGAGGATCTCACCTGGACGACCAACTGCTCCAAGCTGGTCAAGAAGGCTCACCAGCGCCTCTTCTTCTTGAGGACTCTGAGGAAGAACCACCTGTCCTCAGACATCCTGGTGAACTTCTATCGCTGCACCATCGAGAGCATCCTGACCAACTGTATAACAGTCTGGTACGGGAACTGCTCTGCCTCGGACCGGAAGGCGTTGCAGAGGGTCGTGAAAACTGCCCAGCGCATCGCCGGAGCACCACTTCCTGCCATAAAGGACATCTACAGGAAGCGGTGTCTGAAAAGGGCTGGGAAAATCATCAAAGACCCCAGTCACCCATCACATGGACTCTTCACCCTCCTGCCCTCTGGGAGGCGCCACAGGAGCCTCCGGACTAAGACCACCAGGTACCGGAACAGCTACTTCCCCACAGCTGTCAGACTCCTGAACTCTGCCTCCTGACATCTGACCCACGTTAAACTCATGCACTGAACATACACACACCCACAATGGACAACTGTACCCTCAAACACAATAATAACATGGAGTGAACCACCACTCACAACCACTAGCACTTTATATAGCCTCTGTAGAAACTATCTACACCCTCACTTATCTTAACTGCACTACTGTATAGCTCTGTGTAAATAATCATTCTGTACATTCAATAATCTTTAATCCTACAACTGTTTACAACTTGCATAGCTGCCGGGGATTCCCATGATGCATTGAGTTTTTCCTTTCCAGTCACCTTTCTCACTCACTATGCATTAATAGACCTCTCTGCATTGAATCATATCTGTTATTAACCTCTGTCTCTCTTCCACAGCATGTCTTTATCCTGTTTTCCTTCTCTCACCCCAACTGGTCGCAGCAGATGGTCCCGCCCCTCCCTGAGCCTGGTTCTGCTGGAGGTTTCTTCCTGTTAAAGGGGAGTTTTTACTTCCCACTGTCGCCCAAGTGCTTGCTCATAGGGGGTCATATGATTGTTGGGTTTTTCTCTGTATCTGTAACCGGAAGGTCGCCGGTTCGATCCCCGGGCTCTCTGTCCTGGTCGTTGTGTCCTTGGGCAAGACACTTTACCCTACGGCCTACTGGTGTTAGCCAGAGGGGCCGATGGCGCGATATGCCAGCCTCGCTTCTGTCAGTCTGCCCCAGGGCAGCTGTGGCTACAACCGTAGCTTGCCTCCACCAGTGTGTGTGAATGTGAGAGTGAATGAATAATGGCTTGTAAATGTAAAGTGCTTTGGATGCCTTGAAAAGCGCTATATAAATCCAATCCATTATTATTATCTATGAAGCGCCTTGAGGCGACTTTTGTTGTGATTTGGCGCTATATAAATAAAATTGAATTGAATTGAATTGAATTATCTGAGGAAGAAGCAGAGTTGGTTTGTTTCCAGCTGAAATCATCCAGGCTCAGGAATTTGAATCGATCCACATCATTTCTGCTTGAACTAGAGAACATGAGTGTCGACTTACATTTGGTCTGTGAGACACATGTCATAGTGACAGTATTTGGGTTAATATGGCATTACTCACCCTGGTCGCATTTCTTCAATATCAGGCACCAAGTTCAGGAACTCGTTCTTTTGCAGCCCGCGCAAGGAAGGAGGTCTCCAGAGTGGGAACCATCGGGAAGTTTTCACAGTCTGAGCAGGAGGGACTGGAGGCACGTGAGCTGTTCTCAGGGGTCCTTTAACACAAATCACACCAAGTTAGAATCAAATGGATAACCTGTCAATAACCGTTTGCAGATCGAGGTCAATGTTCCTAAAAATATGTTTACTTCTGGCCCATGGAGCCACAGCGGGAGTCCGAGAGAGAGGGGCAGGTAGAGGAAGGGGTGAGGGTGGCACTGCTGAAGCTCGTCACGGATGGATCACGTCCGATCGGTGAGATGAGAGAAAGCTGAAGTGAAACAACAGCAGGATGAGGTAGACGTCAATATAGGAACTCCCTGATGTGACACAGAAAGGCTATTTTTTTATTTCTTTGTATTATTTCTCACCTTGCAGTCACTGATGCTGTTCACCAGCTGGTTGTATTCAGTATTGAAGGTGTGTGTCAGAAGGCGCAGGCACTACAACACAACAGGAACAAGACCGATCAGCTCCGAGCAGAGAAGGAAGAAGGCAGCAACAAGAACGCCCACTAAGCCCACGTTTTTCTGACCTTGGTGGCCAGCTCCTTCTCACGCTTTCAAAGGTGGTGCTGGAGATCTGCGAGGAGGCGGAGGTGGACGTGGACAGAGTGCTGGAGCTCACGCTGGGGGACAGAGACTCACTCAGGGACTTGGTGGTGGGAGCTGTTCCCACGGGAGCCGCCTCTCCCAGAAGGTGACGGGTCTTTTCCACCTGGAAGAAAGATGGGGGCTAATGTGAGGTAGGGAGAAGAGGGGACGTTAGTCATGTAAAGGCCATAGGTGAGGGTAGGGACGTAGATCGACCGGTAAATTGAGGGCTTCGCTTTTACACTCAGCTCCCTCTCCACCACGACGGACCGGTGCAGCGTCCGCATTACTGCAGCTGCAGCCCCAATCCGTCTGTCGATCTCCAGCTCCCTTCTCCCATCACTCGCGAACAAGACCCCGAGATACTTGAACTCCTCCACTTGGGGCAGGAACTCATCCCCGACTCATCCTATATTTCCGTTTTTATATTTCTAATGTTTGCCTTGTTTTCTTCACTGTCTAGTCTGCCTCTGTCTTGCCTGTATGGATGCATTTACACCGAAATGTCCCCAACAAAGGATGTTTTAATTCACCACTATTCCAGTGAAACATGAGTCTCCCATCTTCCTGCTACCAGTCTGGAGTTTTTGTTCACCAAAGCACACACCAACTTCATACTGACGGACAGATCACTGCCCTTTTGCCGCCTTGTCTGACCGTGTTTTGTGGCTGTGGTTCACTTCACCTCACTCTTCCCCATTCTTGTCATTAAATCAGGCTGTTCTGCAACCATGGCAGCCATTCACTCTATGGCTCTATTCATGGTGTATTTTACCCCTTCACCAAAGGCCGTTCTCGTTTCCAACATTATATTTGCAGTGTTCGTCTATCTATCAATATCTGCGGAGTATTTTTTTTAACGAGTATCCTATTTTCTAAAGCACAGCATGTAAAGGGTAGCTCGGTTAGCAGGATGCTAGCATGTAGCGCTTAGTGAGACACGCCTCAGACGAGTTGAGCAAAGACCCCGTCTGTGTACTTTATACGTGAGCAACGGATTTAAATAAAATTAAGGTTTCAAAAGACAAACTTGAAGATAAAATATATATATATATATATATATATATATATATATATATATATACACACACATATATATATACTCACCGGAGAGCCGCCAGGGTTTGCCGCTGCCATCTTGGCGCTCCTAAATTCAAAACTGCCTCTGCAGTCAGGCAGGGGAGGCGTGGAAATTGTCTTTGAGTTAGTCAAACGTTTTCCTTAGTTCGAGTAGATGATAAAAAAAAAAATAATAATAAATGGGATTTTAAGTAGGACTAGGCGTTCTGTAATGATCTCTATTTAGGAGAAAAACTTAATCACTCACCTTTAAACAGCTCTCTTTTAGGAGACACGCTGCTGGCTAACGGTGTCATGTGATCAAACAGCGTAATTTAATTGGCTGAGAGCCACTCGACTCGATCTGGTGCTGATTGCTCTGGCTTGGGTCATTAAAGTTCATCACTTTTGCAGGTGAATTTTTGCAGGTGAATTTTCTTCAGGTGAATTTTTGCAGGTGAATTTTTTTCAGGTGAATTTTTGCAGGTGAATTTTTTGCAGGTGAATTTTTGCAGGTGAATATTTTTGCAGGGAAATTTGGAGGATAAAAATTCAGTGTCATAAATTCAATGTCTAAAAATACTTGAATTCTGATGATACTATATTTCTTCCATATTCCCGGGATCTGCTGGAGCCACTCGCCTAGCTTGGGAGTCACCGCACCTAGTGCTCCGATTACCACGGGGACCACCGTTACCTTCACCCTCCACATCCTCTCGAGCTCTTCTCTGAGCCCTTGGTATTTCTCCAGCTTCTCGTCTTCCTTCTTCCTGATATTGCTGTCATTCGGAACCGCTACATCGATAACTACGGCCGTCTTCTTCTGTTTGTCTACCACCACTATGTCCGGTTGGTTAGCCACCACCATTTTGTCCGTCTGTATCTGGAAGTCCCACAGGATCTTAGCTCGGTCATTCTCCACCACCCTTGGGGGCATCTCCCATTTTGACCTCGGGACTTCCAGGTTATACTCGGCACAGATGTTCCTGTACACTATGCCGGCCACTTGGTTATGGCGTTCCATGTATGCCTTGCCTGCTAGCATCTTGCACCCTGCTGTTATGTGCTGGATTGTCTCTGGGGCATCTTTACACAGCCTGCACCTGGGGTCTTGCCTGGTGTGATAGACCCCAGCCTCTATGGATCTTGTGCTCAGAGCTTGTTCTTGTGCTGCCATGATTAGTGCCTCTGTGCTGTCTTTCAGTCCAGCTTTGTCCAGCCACTGGTAGGATTTCTGGATATCAGCCACCTCCTCTATCTGCCGGTGGTACATACCGTGCAGGGGCCTGTCCTTCCATGATGGTTCCTCGTCTCCCTCCTCTTTCTTGGGTTTCTGCTGCCTGAGGTATTCACTGAGCACTCGGTCAGTTGGGGCCATCTTCCTAATGTATTCTTGGATGTTCGTTGTCTCATCCTGGACTGTGGTGCTGACACTCACCAGTCCCCGGCCCCCTTCCTTCCGCTTAGCGTACAGCCTCAGGGTGCTGGATTTGGGGTGAAACCCTCCATGCATGGTAAGGAGCTTTCTTGTCTTTATGTCAGTGGCTTCTATCTCCTCCTTTGGCCAGCCTATTACCCCAGCAGGGTACCTGATCACGGGCAGGGCGTACGTGTTGATGGCCCGGATCTTGTTCTTACCATTCAGCTGACTCCTCAGGACTTGCCTGACCCTCTGCAGGTACTTGGTGGTTGCAGCTTTTCTAGCGGCCTCTTCATGGTTCCCATTCGCCTGTGGGATCCCCAAGTACTTGTAACTGTCCTCTATGTCTGGGGGGGGGGGCTACATGAATAGGATGAGGGACCTATGGTGTGTGTGTGTGTGTGTGTGTGTATGTATATATATATATATATATATATATATATATATATATATATATATATATATTATATATATATATATATATATATATATATATATATATATATATATATATATATATATATATATAAATAAATAAAATAAAAAATCATTTCAAAATGGCTCATGTTTATTAGTACACACAAAACACAACTTTGTTTTTCATGTATTTGGTCACGTGCCTATGCAGAAGGACTTTGAGGATGTGAAAATCAGTAGGATTCATTGTTTTGGACCCATTGATATTTGCATTAGATTTTACCAAAAGCCAAAAGCTAGAAAGTCTAAAAAATAAATGGGACAGAATAGAAATACTAAAAGGGAGTCTAAGATCTGTGCAAACATTTTTTACGTTGTCACAGGTCTTAGTCTTGTTTAAAGACTAAGACCTGTGGATTTACTTTTGAGGCATTACAAAAGTCATAGTCAACAGATATTGCAATTCATTGGCTAAAGAGCCAAGACAAAAAATGAGAGAGACACAACCAAAGATTTTCAGTTTGTTAACCAAATGAACCTTAAACAGTAATTAACTTTATGAGGTGGGATAGTTTTTGTTTGTGTTTCAGCAGTTATATGAGTGATCGAATGTTAGGTGTACGCAAGACAGAAGGCCATCACTGTCCATTTGCTTCCACTTATCCTTTTCAGGGTCGCAGGGGGCGCTGGATCCTATCCCAGCTGTCATAGGGCAAGAGGCAACCCTGGACAGGTCGCAGGACTAACACACAGAGACAGACAACCAGTCACATTCACACCTATGGGCAATTTAGATTGTTCAATTAACCTATCCCCACAAAGTGCATGTCTTTGGAAGGAAGCCGGAGTACCCAGGGAGAACCCACACAAACACAGGGAGAACATGCAAACTCCACACAGAAAGACCCCGGCCTGATGGTAGAATTGAACTCAGGACCTTCTTGCTGTGAGGCAACAGTGCTAACCACCGTGCCACCGTGCTGCCTATATTTATACATAAAGAAGTTGGCATTAACCACAACAGAAACACTGTCACCTAAACAAAACCGACCAAAACTTTAAGCATGGAAAGATGTGATATTGTTATTTCTATGTCAAATCATCTAAGACTACAATTATTTCATTTTTAAATATTTTCTGAGATGCTGTAATGGAGCAGAACCATTAGATCATTCGTTGTGATTACACCAATGTTTACATATGGTACACTTCACTGATTACTGAGCTCTTGCTGTCTACACTCTTTGACAGCAGGCACTTTGATATGAAATTTGAGTATCAAAGAAGTGTTTCTGAGGAGCTCTGTCTTTTGGTAAAATAAACAGTTTAAAAAAACGTCTTTGATTAGGTCTGTCATGAGCATCTGACATATACACAATCACTCGGGATTAAATACCCGCGCCTGTGACAAAGCATTTCGCCCCTAGAGGGTGCTATAATTAAAAGCAAAGCTTCGCACACGTCTGAACAATTATAAAAAAAACCCTCAACGGGTGTAAAAAAAAAATTCTGAATGACAATATAAAGTGAAGAAGTGAAGAAGAAAAATACAGATTAGAATCCAGATCAAAATGAAATAATCCATAATTCAATCACTGAAGTGGAAGAATTCACACACTGTATGCAAAAAGAATGAATTCTGCTGCTCATAGTTTCATACCATGAAAAATATACAACACAGACCTGGCTAATACAAAAACTAAACTAAAAAGAGTTAATTGTTTAAAAAAAAAAAAGGTTTGTTTTTATTTGAATACCTGTAGTGAATTGCCTAAACCTTGCATCTGGCATATGTCCTCCATACAACAAGAGACTAAAACTAAATCTATTAAAAACTAAACTAAACATTTGGAAGCAATAAACAAAACCTGAAACTAAACTGAATTAAAAACAATACGTCAATATGAAATAAAAATGAAAACTAATTAGGAAATACACAACTATATTAAGTATTGAAAGCATTTAGAGCCAGGCAACAATTCCTTTTCTTCTTCTTCTTCTTTGATGAGCAATAAAATAGGTTGTACGTAAATACAAGTATTAGACGTTACATGAATTAAGCTCAATTTCTATTTGGGTAGAGAGCATTAACAAAAATGACTATAACTGCGTTTTGTGTTTTATTTATTATTATTATTATTATTATTATTATTATTATGAAAAATGTACCTTGATACATTTTTATGATTGTTGTTTTACATGTTTGTTTGTTTGTTTTCGGGGCTTTTTGAGGACCATTTTTATCAAAACTTTTACTAAATATGACGCACATAGAGAGCATGAATTTAACATAATCTGTAGCACATACTAGAGGTAGTAATAGAGGTTTTGTTTTCGTTTCTTTTTACACACGTCGCTGTGTAATGGGCTGAAGTTCACATATCCCAGAATCCTCCGCGGGCCTCTCACCCCCTCTTAGTTTTTGCATCCGGGTCTGAACTTCCTTTTCCTCTGTGCCTAGATGCGATGAGGACCTAGGTTTTCCCGGACCTCTGAAAAATCCGAATCCATCCTTGCAAAAGGCACCACCGAACCTCGCCAAAATGACCGAGCAGATGACAGTGAGGGGGACCCTGAAGGGGCACAGTGGATGGGTCACCCAGATCGCCACTACGCCCCAGTACCCCGATATGATCCTGTCGGCGTCCCGAGGTGAGGCTTCCCCCGCCGGTTGCGCCAACATGGCTCAGATAGCATTATTAAGCTAGCTGCTGCCGCTGTAATGTGAGGCAGATACTTAAACTGGTGTGTAAGGAGCAGATAAAACATGAGTAACCACGTAATATTAGATAAAGAGGGCTCAAACTTTTACATAAAAAAGGTCCTAACTAGCTGGAAAGAAGCAGGTTAGCTAAGCTCGCTAGCGCTATCTGTCGTCATCTGTAACAGACCCGTTGATGTCCATACTTGTTAGGAGGGTTATAGCACGTTTAGTTACCTGAATAAATGTAATTATTTAGCAACAAAACCCTCCTAACCTTCGTAGACTGAGCCCGTGGATCCGAAGTTTAACAGGTGTGCATGTAGTGCTAGCAATCGATGCATGCTGATGCTTAAATTATTCGTTTCCTGAATGAATATTGGACGTTGAGACATGAAAACGTGTTGCTTTTTTTCAGACAAGTCCATCATCATGTGGAAACTGACCCGTGATGAAACCAACTACGGTATCCCCCAGCGTTCCCTGAAGGGTCACTCTCACTTTGTGAGTGATGTTGTGATCTCCTCTGATGGACAGTTTGCCCTGTCCGGAGCCTGGGACGGGACCCTCCGCCTGTGGGATCTCACCACGTAAGTGCAGGGAGTCTTTACCCCTGGGCAGATGTTTAGAAGTACAGGTGAAAAGCCAAGTCTTCTAAATGACATTTGATTTTTTATGAATCACTTGAGTTTGAAGAGGCCTAGTGCTAGTTTCTCAGATCTGTTATATGCCAAAAATAGTCTTACAAATGAAGTG